CTTGCCAACCAACATCACACACACAAGCTTATTAATAGCATATTCGTTCTTAGATAATCTTGCTGTCGATAAAATGGTCACTCTAATCTTGGAAAATATTTATAAACAGTGCAAGTAAAAGATCTATTCTTAGATAGTCTTCCTGCAAATAATCTTGCTAATCTTAGATAACCTCACTAAATTTCTAAGATATTCATTAATTTTCCAAACAAAAGATCCATTCTTAGATAAACTTATAGTCGGTAAATTTATTATATTGCACAAGAGATTATCGAAAGAAATCAATAAATCGTAATTTCTTTTAAAACCAAAATTTTTTATTGTCGTAATTATAAGATAATTCAATATTACGCTAGTTTATTATTATGATTGTTATTCAAAATTTACTACTGTTTAAAGTTTATTATTGTTCAAAATTTGTTTACTATTATTATTCAGTTTCAATTACAATTTATTATTATCAAGGCGAAATTAAATCTGCATTTTTTCATATATTAAATCAAGCTAATTTATTCATTAAAATAATATTTTTTGACGCGATCGATTGCTGAAAAGGAAGAATTCAGTACAGCAGGTTGATCTGTATGATAGGCATATAGGTTGATCTGTTTTTGATTGAATTACGGTTGGTAAATTTGTTAATCTAATCTTAAAAGATATTCAATCATTTATCCACAATATTTCATTTTTATCAAAAATTCCACTTTAATCTTGGATGTGATATTGTTATATTGTACAAGAGATCACCCAAAGAAATCAATTAAGATTCAATTAAAATTGAAATTTATTATTATCAATCACAGTTTATTGTTACTATTTAAAATTTACAATTGCTATTCAAAATTTATTATTGTTTGAAACTTATTTAATGATATTGTTCAAGTTCAATTATACTTACCATAAAATCATATTAGATTATTATTTTTGGTCGTTTTTCTATTGCTAAAGACCTTAACTTTTTTCATTTAATTAAAATTAAAATTAAATGTTCTTTTTTCTTTAATCTTTGTCCCTTTCGATTTGTTTGGGGTGTGGGTGTGACGAAAGGAAGAATATCACACACACCCACACTCACACCCGCACCCGCACACCCACACCCACACCCACACCCACACCCACACACCCACACCCACACACCCACACCCACACACCCACACTCACACCCACACCCCTCAGTTTTTGTAAAAGTCCTTAGCTAAGAAAAAAAAGGAGAAATTGAATTGGCGCACATTGTGCTTATGGCTTCTGCTATTTGAATGACTTTAACGTCATTATATGCCAAATATTTTTCATTGATGAAATCAGAAAATCGATCATTAAAGTAGCATTGATCAAGAGCAGTCTGTTTGTTGTATTTTTTTATTTTGAAGTTTTCTTCTTAACTAAAAAGGAAACCATGCAATTGTTTTCATGAAGTTCTCCTTCACTAGATACGTTATTTGCAGAGCAACTCGAAACGAGAAAAATAAAAAAAGTTGTGCATATAAATTTAGCATGCAAATATTCATTTTATTCAAAGGATAAAGTAAAGCTATGCAACTTTCTCGTATCTCCACAGCTCCGTATCGGCCTCGTGTTCAACGTATACGCTCAAGGCGAGTTCTACCAAATGATATCATCAATAATGTTGGCGTTCATAACTCACCGCCAGTTTCTCTGTCTGTTGAAAGAAATTCATCATATTCCTTTTTAAGTAGCACTTTTCGGCCAAGAAACAGTCTGACATTCAATGGAAATAGTAGGTTATCGCCAGATATGGAAAATCTATGGAGGAATATTGGGAACCAGCGGAAGCCGAAAAAGAAGCGCCAACGGTATGTATAAATTTACTGAGTCATAGCTTCAAATATGGAAGAATTCGTTGTGAATAGCCATTTCTTTGAATGATCAAGTATTCTACTCATGCTAAAACAGAGTTTCATACGTAAACTGCATTAGGGTCAGTGAATGATAGTCATAAATCATATGCTTTCTTATTCTTCACTTTTCTGCATAATGATCATTGCAAAACGAAATGTAATAGAATGACTTGTTGTGTTTTAGCCTAGCTAAGAGTGGAATGATGACTAACCGTCAATGTTGTCAATATCTTCACTCTACTTTCGTATTTCTATGTTTAACTTTTAATTCTAGTCAACTTTCACAGTGAGGTGCCTGGTGTTTATTTTGTTCAGCACTTCTTTTTGGTCTTATCTTGGCTGCTGTGATTAGTACTGTAGTGATAATCGTACTACGTGAGTAATATTGTTTTCTACAGTATTTGTCTGATTCTATTCACACAACTTTCTGAAAAATAGCACATGAGACCACAACATCAACAACGACTACATCGACGACGGCCACCAGTAAGTGAAGGTTTTCATAATAACGAAAAAAAAATATAAGTAGTTCCACATTGATTTTATCAAAAAGAATCCATAAATTCATGGGTGCACATTTCAATGCAGCTTTTTATAGCTTGAAGCGAAGGACGTGGGTTAATTATTCAAAAAATTTTCACATAAATAATTCGTCGATGACTAGAGATTTTATGCTATCAGAAACACAACCAAGTTACTTTTTTGTGGGATTCAAATAGAAACCTACTTTGATTTTATTAAATCTTATTCTTATGCAGCTTGATTATGCGATTTTAGCAGTTCTATTCATGTTACTGTATAAATAAAAAAAAATTGTAACTGCGTTACTTTTGCGAGACTCGATGGAGCGTTGAGTGTCGCAGCAGATAGAATACTTTTACTTCATTTATCTTCTATTCTGAACGAAAAAAGTTAATTCATTTCAACCAGTACTAGAAAAAACATTTCTATCCATACACTTTTCAAGAGTTTTTCTTCTGTAACGAAAACCTACTTCATAAATGGGATAAATACTATTTCAGAGGCTGAGTAACTATTGACGGATATTTTAAAAAATGCCAATCACCATTTGTTGAATAACTTTCGATGCTTCCTAGATATCGCAGTCGGATTTTTGCCATTAGATAGAGCAACGCGAGGGCATCTATCAATGTAATATTCATTACGTTCCAGGAAGTTTTTCAAAGAGATTTGCAAGTGAAATTTTTTTTCTGTTGTACATTTCTACAAGTTTTCGTAGCAACCTATGCTCAAATTACATCAAAATACAGCTCAGAGTAAGCCATATTGTCCATAAAAATTGGCAGATATCAGAAAAATTCTCTTGGAGTATGAGTTCAGCGTGAGAATGAAACAATCGAACAATTATATGGAGAATACAGAACTCTTCAGGCTACATTTTAGCGTAATTTGAGAATAGGTTGCTACGAAAACTTGTAAAAATATGCAGCAGACAAAATGTTCACCTGCAAAACTTCTTGGAACGTAATGAGTAATACATAGATAGATGCTTTCGCATTGCTCTATCTAATGGCGAAAACTAGACTTCGATATCTAGGAAGCATCGAAATGTATTTAAAAAAATGGTGCATTGCATGTTAAAAATATACAACAATAGTTGATTTGCCTATTACATTAAAAAAGTATTTATCGATCGTCTGAAACATAATTATAAGTCTCGTAGTAATTTTTTGATCGTAGAACAAGATTTGTAGAGGACGACTTCCTCTATCTAATGATGTAATTACTATCAAGTTCCATTGCGTGTCATTAAGATATGAAAAGAAGACGGCATCTTCGATGCATTCTAGTGTGTGATCGTGGTCAATGTGGCGTCCCCTATTGATGTCTCAACGATATGTAGTAGAACCTTATAGTATATACACCATTAGGCAGAGAAAACTTAACTCTACAAACCTACACAATCTCATTCTGGGATAAAAACCTTGATAGGCGCCTTTCTCTCAATGGAATAGCATTATCACATAAGCCAAACTTTAGTGGTGCATCACGTCTACCCATGGAGGGCAAGCTCCTTTCTTGCATCAACACGCGTAGCTGAGGTAGATTATATACCTTTCGTGGGAGATGACTATGGCTCTTACGCCAGATGATGGTGTATCTCGTGTTTTGGAAATTTTTGACACAACTCATAAAAGGATAATATCTATTTCAACGGCTATAAGCTTGCAGAAATTCGATTATTGCACCTGTTTTCAAAGTCACTTCAAATTTTCACCCGAATGCGATATAAAGCTATTTAACACAATACGTTCCAGTACACTATAAAATAGAAAATAAGTTATAGAGTTTAATGAACGATATTCTAGGAATGCCCATATGAATTCACCGCTGAATTTTTAATTCTTTGAAAATAATATATTCGAAACATTAAGAATAAGAAATTTGATTTTCTAATTATAAAATCGAAAGTGAATTTATAGGGGCGTTCCTAGCATTTCGAATTGCATTTAGTAATCTGAGCATTTTCTAGAAATTTCAAAATCTGCTAAGATTCTCTTTTCAAGAGAAAATGCATTCAATAAAATAAATAAATAATTTTAATTTAAATAAATTCATGAACATTGTATTATCACATAAATGTATCAAATAAAATAAAAAATTCGTTTTATTTTTAATTTTAATAAATTCATAAACGTTGAATACACATGAATACATTGAATAAAATAAATAAATAAATTATTTTGATTTAAATACATTCAAAATGGACTCACTTACGCGGCAGCTGAAAAAAATATAATTTATCAAGTAACTACAACCGAAGAAAATAATGAATGCACAACTCTATCGGCTGATTTATATACATAAGTGAACAATGACTCTATAGCGGTCATTGTTCAAATGATTTTTTTAGGAAATCAAATTGAATTTCTATCATTGAGAAAATCAAGCATTTTCGAGATACTGAAAATTCGTCGAATGAATCATAAAACCTTAAAAATACTTCAACTTATTTAAGATCGATTTTCCAAAAAGTAGAATTTTAAAAAATTTACAGTGTACAATAGTTAATGCGCCAGCAAATAATATGAGATTAAGAATTCACTACAGTTTTTTTCAGAAGTGTCTCACAGCGAGAAGAACTGTGAACAATAGCCTAAATGTACTTCACAACAATCGATGTTTTTAGCTGCGACAACAACAACGACAACGACAATAACTACAACAACAACCACAACAACGACTACGACAACAACAACAACAACATTCACAACAACGACAACGACAACATCCACAACAACGACAACAACATCCACAACAACAGTAACAACGTCGACAACATCGACGTCAAGTAAGTTTCCAAACCGCCAAAAGCGACATTAGAAATGGACTCAATATCCAAAATATCTTAATTTAGCTTCAACTTCGTCAACAAGCACAACAAGCACGTCAACTTCAACTACGTCAACAAGTACGTGAAAACTTCTTTTCTTTCAAAAACACGAAAAAAAAAAGATTTTCTCAGTATTGAGAGGAACGATCACGGATTATGTTTCATGACTTTCTGTTCTAGCCAGGGTGTTTCCGTTCACGAAAAAGGAATAGATGAACTGAAGCTATTTATCAGTTCACTTCACATGAACTGAAAACATTGGCCAGTTCTATGTTAGGCAGTAAAGGTATATGATCCACTCGCCTTATGTTCTTTAGACCTTGTAGTGAAAAGATAAATTTTAGTTTTCAATGCTTGTCTTAATATATTTGTCACTAGCTATAAGGGGTTTCGATCGAATAGTGGGCGACTTGATTTTTTGATTTTATGTGTTTTTAAGTGGTATCGACTAGAGATGACTGTTTTTCATCATTGTTCAACATTCGTTTCTTCGAAATTCAGGATCGTGTAAATTTTATTTGATGTGTCACTTGTTGTAGATTATCGTTTAAGGCGCATGGTTGTGCATTTGATTTTGGTCTTCGTCTTGATCTGTATCACTCTCTAAAAATGGCGTCATACTGAATCTTGTAGGGTTCTAACTAGAAAGTCTGATATTTAAAAATGTATTAGCCCACAAATATGGCACTTACAAAAATACTAGACCGTTCTCGTATAACTTAAGACGGTTCAAGAATGGCCAGGAAATCTTGAAATCTAAATAGTTCAGTATGACGCCTTCCTTTTCAAGAGCACACTACTTCTTCAATCGGTATATTGTATCGAACGAGTAAAAGTTTTGGAAATTACTCGACTTTCCACGTTCACAATTCAAACATTCGTTCTGCTGCTTTTTCGATTCTTTGTATTGGCTGAGATATGGGCATCATTGCTTGTTGATGTTCGTTGTCTTTAAGAATCAGCGAGAATTCTGTTAATAGTCTGTAAGACAATGTCGTGCCTATTGCGTATAATGCTAGTGTTACTGATCGGTTATGTTGAACATCTGACACTTTTATATCTAGCAAGCGCGTTTTCAAGAAGATATTTAGTCCGACTTTATTCCTTTTCTCACCTTCTAATATAAGAGTGATGATCTTGAATTCATATTTCCATAGTGAGAATTATTATTGATTTTGCTATCGTGTTTCTGACTTTATCAGTTCAGCTCCTTCTGTACTAAGGATGCAACAGTGACGATAACCGGTCTAATCGGTAACCGGTGTGAACCGGGAACCGTTCAACCGGTAACCGGTTCAGACCGGTTATCGTTCCACTCGCATATTGTTTTACATTTGGAGCTATATGTTGAATAAAGCGAGTACTTATTACTCCTCATGCCCTATATACAAAGACACTTAGACCATTTCGAGTCTTATATGAGAGATATACCTAAGACTTCTCAAGGCCTAGGTTACGAGGTAACGAAGTGATTTCAAGTCTTATGTACAGGGAATATCTAAGAGTCCTGAAGTCCTATATAGAGAGAGATCATAGGGTATCTCAAATATCATCTAAGAGAAGTACCTACACGCTACACAAAATATCCTCCAGACTGTAAATCTCTTAGAAACCTTTTCGGATACGTACAGGTCTATCCTGAAATGTTTCCAGTCTGAAAGTGAGTTTCGAAAAATCCATTCTGAGTTGCGGAGTCCTCGAAAACTAAAGGGTTTTCGTAAAATAAAGTCAAAAACCCTAGGCTATGTCAGCAGAAACTTATGGTGCCCTCAGAAACCGGTTTTCAACGCACACTCTTCACGAAAACCTCATGAATATTTCAGAAAAGTTTTGGGTTTTCAATATCTTTTATAGAAAACCTTTTTGGATTTTTGGATGGCAGAGAAGGCACCACAGTATTCTAGAAAACTGGCATGCCTTCCGAATAAATCTTGGAAATACATTAGGGTGTCCACATTGTTCATAATTCTTTAGGTTTCCAAAAGATGGCACGAAAATCGCTTACGTATTCTGAAAAACTCATGTACTTCGAATGTATTCTCGAACAGTCTCATTCTCATTGTTAAATATTCAGGATTCCGTACCGTTCGACGTGCGTGATATTAACAGTTCTTAATCTATGCTTAATATTTTTGTAGCAATATTACAATTGTAGAATTTTCAAAAAGGTTTTTTCCTCAATAAATTCTAACCACCTCTTATTTCTTCCATTTTCTGAAAACAAATATGTTACAAATTCAACTGGGATAAGTAGACAACGTCAATAAATAAGCAACTTACTCAGAGAATATTCACTTTTTCACAGTTCTTTGTTCATATTCGATCTTGTATCCACCATCATCTTTAGGAACCAATTTACAGAAAGAGCACTCCAACTATGTTTTCAAGTTTGTTTTATAAGATTCAATAATATATACGAGAAGGGTAAAGTCTTAACGCCAAATCCTCTTTTGCCAACAGTAGTTTCGCTACCTGGCGAACCTACAGATCGAAAAAACTTAAGTTTTTAATCGAATTTTTATACAAGTTTCGCTAATGATGAAACTACTGTCAACGAAAAGAAGAGTTGGTAAAATTACATAGACTCTATTTAAATTTGAGAACTCTGACTGAGATGAAGACTTGATATTTACGTGACTTGATGACTGCGACTAATCGTAAGATTTGAAGGTGTTTAGATCGGACTGACATGTGGAGGAGTGACTGAAAAGCTCGCGATGTATGTGTGCCTGCTTGAGAGATGAAAAGACCACCATAACGACGATGTTATAGTGGTGCTGAATTGTAATAGATTACCTTCGGAAACCTTTAGTGGATTTCTGAAGTTTGATGGCGTTTTATTGTAATAAAGTGTTTCCGAGACCTCGCAAACCTATAAATGGCTTCATATAGTGACAAACTCGAAAAAACTTTATAGATTTCCAAGAAAACCTTTTTGGTGTGTAATGGTGAATTAAACACTTATATTTCATTTTTGGCCACTTTACATTGAGAAAATCTAGCTCTATATCCTTTCCATCTTAGCTGTATCGTCAAACCGACAAATTGTCTAAACAATGTATCAGCTCAACATAAGACTACAGAGGTGTTAGTTATCATTCTCTATACAGCATTTGACAGGCCTCAAGTACCCATGGATAGCACTTGGGGCCATTTCGGTAGTCTTCCCTCTTATATTGGAATATGAGAGGTGATGAGTACTCGCCTTATTCAAGATATAGCTCCAAACGTAAAAAAATATGTGAGTGGAACGATAATCGATCTGAACCGGTTACCAGTTGAACGGTTACCGATTATATCGGTTTTCGGTAGAACGGTTACCGGTTCCTACGATCAAGCGGTGACTAATCGTCACCGTTGCATCCCTATTCTGTGCTTGGTCAACCATCGTGATTATCGCAACGACTACGGTACCCATACCACTCACATTGTTTCATTCAAACTATTTGATGTTGTGATCTCGAATATATTTTAGTTGAATTCAATTTTCTTTATTTTTGTTTGTTATTTTATTCTTTCGTTAATCGTTGAAGGTGTACGTGTGAGTGAGTATGGGTAAAGGCATATGGATGTAATTGTGTGTGAGCCAAGATCTTTTGGTCGTCTATGCCTAACCCACATTCGTACTCTTTCTAGTAGTCCGTCGTCCAGAGCTCTATCTATCGCAAAAAGCATTTCAGAAAAACCTGTAGTTTATCACAGCAAAGGAAATATAGCAAAAAATTATAAGCTTTTTGGATGAGTACGGTAGAATCACGGCGTTTTGTTTTTTCGAGAATTTTCCTAAGTAAAAAATAGAGAAGTTTTTCTTATAAGGATAGGCCACCAACTGTTCAATCACTTTTGCACTGAGACAATGCGTTTTATGCAAATCCAAATAAAGTCTGAACACCCTGAAAAGAGTTCGAGTCTTTAGATTGTTGCTACGGAGATAATGCAGTTTTACGGTATTTTTCAAATAAATGCCGTATTTCCTCTCAAAAATACCAGAGAAACTGATTTTCGAATTTCAACTTGAAATTTTACATAGAAACAGGTCTTGACACGAATAGTTTTGTGTGAAAATTTGAGTTCTTTTTATTGGCTACTCTCGTGAAACGAGAACATCAAATCTGCTGGTCTGTCTGAGTGATGTAAAACACACGTTATTACTAAATTTGAATCTGCGGTTAGAAACAGTAACAAGATCTAAAACATGGACACAAAGCTATTTTCGGTAAGTTTTGGTTCAATGTACAGTTTCATGTCAATATTCGAAAATCAGTTTTTTCTGGTATCCCTGGGAGAAAAACAACATTTATTTGAAAAGGCTCGTAGAAATGCCGTATCTCCGTAGCAATAACCTAGGGGCACACACTCTTTTCAGACCATTTATTATTCATTTGAATCTACATAATCTACATAGCCCCAGCGGAAAAGCGATTGAAGTGTTGGAAATTTTTCATTGTTAGAAAACTAGAAGGATTTCTGTTCGTTTTTTTGCAAACAATATCCAAAATATGTTGTTGACATTGTAAGATTCAGATTCACTGAAACGTTTTCTTAAATATTCTCTCTATGTTTGTGATTTATCATTCGTTATATATCTAGCTACAACAACAGCAACAACAAGTAAGTTTTTCATCGTAATACGTCATATTGATTGATATTCAATTCGGTTTCACTTTGCATAGCACCATCGTGTATCAGTCCAGATACGACAGGAGCAATTTTTAGCTTTGATTCTGGTACTGCTCCAACCAGTTACACATTCTACTCGTATGGATTCACTGCTACTGATTCTTCAGCAACTTTATCATTTATCATGACAGGGGATTCTGGACCTGCTCATCACTATTGGTTATTGGATAGTGTTTCTGTGAAAGAGACACCTAATAACACAAATATTCTTATCAATAGTGGGTTCGAAATGGGCGATTTCACAGGTTGGACACAATATTGTGCTACAGATAGTAACTGTGGCGGCAGTGGCACTAATTACGGTCAACTAACACAAGGTGTTTGCCAATCAGGAACATACTGCTACGTGGATAAATGTAACAATGGTGGTCATTATGATTATCTGATACAATCTTTTTCCACTGTGAGTGGGTATAATTACTTAGTAACATTTTATTTCAAAGTCAACGCTAACGGAGGACCTCATTTAGCATATGTCATGCTATCCTAACTGTGAATTCTTCCTTCGACAAGTGAATGGATATACATTTTCATTAAACAGACATGACATAAAAAGCTTTGCGTGAAATAAACATTCTTTCTCAAATGATCATGGCTATTCTTTACACTTAAACAGTTGAATAAAAATATGGTCATGTTCGAAATTTGTGTATTTTCAGAACTGAATGATTTTTCCATATGAATGTTTGATATTGGTTATCATTTAAGTGGGCAGTAGAATAAATGACTGATCGGTAGATTGAATGAATAATCAGTATTTTATTTAAATGCTCAGTTACTAAAATAATTAGGCTAGTGAATATATTTAAAAATCAGTAAATTAAATTGAAGGTAAGGATAAAAATCGAAATGTGGGGTGTAGGTGCAAGTATTTCTTTGTCTGTTCACACTCACTCCTACACCTACACCCGCGATCAACGAGAAACGAAAAAGAGGTAGGCCAGCAAGGGGTAAACTCACTTTACTACAGTAGTACGACAGTTGAATTTTCTTTTTCTTTTTCTCTATTGATTCCTTGAACTGCTATTTCTATTTAATTTTCTTTTCGATATTCCTTCTTATTTCTTCTGTGTTTTTTTATTTATTTAAATTTATTTTTCTTATACTATATTAATCTTAATATGAATAAAACTTATTTCTTCTGCTGATAAAACCTGTATTGTTTTCTGACCAAAACTATGCTCCCTTTGATATTTATCATTCTCTATTCTATAGTATTCAAGTTCTCAACTGTCTTCGTTCGATCAATGTAACTAGAAGGAACACTATTACTGTCTCCATCTACATCAGACTTAACTATCTTGACGATGAGTGCGACATGAAAAAGAAGTATTGTTCATGCTATTTTATTCGAATCAAGGATTCATCAGCTAATTTGAATCTCACATTGTCTCTGTGGCTCGAAAATTAGAAATTGTTGTTGTGTAACACTCTGATTCAAGATGTTGACAGCTAATATAGGTGAGAGTGTGGATCTGAGTATTGTTGCGAATATTGGTGAGTTATGTGAATGGTTTTAGTCTCTTTCGAGCTGACATCCATAATCGCACTCACGCACACACTCTAGTTGTCACATGCTATTCAAACTTGTTCGAATATCTATGGGCAAGATGGATATACTATTGGTTTTAACTTCGAAATCGATCCATTCGTGAGAGACGAAATTACTCAAACAGGTCGAATGAAATTCTTGTGCCATATTTACAAATGACCGCGAAGATATGACAACCTTTGAAAATGGATACTTTGAAGTATTTCGATATTGCCTTTGGAATTTTTGTCAGCGAATAGGGGTAGTTGATATGCAGTTTCGATCATGGTGTGTGACCTAAACGAACTATAGGCAGTGAGAATTTGCACGACAATGGTGAATAGGATTAGGAAAACACTTGGAGCAAGTATCTGCCAATGAATGATTTCAGAATCCTTTGCTTATATTTTGAAAGATTTACTGTGAAGGGGTTTGATAAGTACGAAATTGTACAGTGATTCTAATGAACAGGACATAGAGATTGTGAGTAAGCTCCCTGGTTGAAGAACTACATTGCCATCACTGTACTGATACATCAAACAAAGCCGCTGCTAGTGTAAAACCTATAATGAATATATTCACTGTTCAATTTCACTTTTCTCCGAACGTTCGGTGCATACTCATAGCTGCTCAGCTGCAAAATCGGGACAATAATGCTGCTTTTCCTGTGTATAGCGTTTGCTGAAATGTTTTATTGAGAAAGGAGCAAAGAATAGTGCTCGTACATGTCAAGACTGACATTTTCATGGGGCACACTAATACTTCTACTTTGAACCAAGCCGAACATTGAAATGATTGCGTACGTGTGTTACTTCTAAAGTGACGTCATGATATTTTATCTGATAGTATTCACAAACCGTAGTTTTCCGTTCGTCATCACTTAAAGAAACCAGCGGTATAAGATCGGAAACTGCTCTAGTGATTGAGTTTTCCATTTCAAGCTCTCCTGGAAATATGTGTGGAGCTTAAAGTCTGAAATTCCTATCAACAATCGCAATATTCAGAAGTTTTTACAGTCACCAATGCCACATGATCTGGTCAACTCTATCAATATCCATGCGCTTCTAATAATAATGTTTCGAAAAAAGAACGTCATTTTCAGAGTCTCTTTGAACCCATTGTACCGATACACATGTTAGATGTTTGGTTTTCGGGTCATTTGATGAGTTTCAAATTACAGTCTCACAGGCATCATAGTTTAGGCGATCTATCGACTTTTTTGCAATAATTCTCTCCGTTGCTGCAATAAAACAAATGTTCAGCAGAACAGAAATGTTGGTGTAAACAAAGATCAAAAAAGGTAAGGAAAACAGTCCTTTAGAAATCAAATATTCCTTGAAGGAAATAGTTCAAAGGCATTAGGCTGTGTTCTTTCGTGTCAGTATACAGCAAGCCAACTACAAAGACTCAAATATTAAACTTCATAGCCTATTTATGTTTTCCAATATATTCTATATGAATTGCTGTCGAATCCTCGATTTTGAAATGGATTGAATCGTGCTTAAATTCTTCGCTTTGCGGTGGGAAAAATTTAGAAAATGATCCAAATAAGAAAACAATCTCTATGGTCAAAACAAAGCAAGAATATCCATCATTTCATCGACAGCTACGCCTATTGATCAACAGGAACTTCATAGAATAATCTTTGCTCCATCAATGGTCAGATCGATTGAATAACAACGAATTCCATACTTCAATTTGATGCTTACGTCGAAAGAAAAACAATTCTAATCAATTATTACAGATCCTCTTCGAACTAAATCTCTTTTTCAATGATTTTTTGAGCAACGATGAATTTATTCAAAGAACATTTCTTTGATGCCTTGTTTAAAATGGGCATAGTTCGAGAACTTTTTGTTGAAAAATTTTTGTAATCACAAATCTATTCAGATGATTAGTCAGAAAGTTTTCAGTGAATTGATTCGATTCGTCATAAATGCCGTATAAGTTGTGAAGTAAATTCCAATCGACATTTAATATTACACAAATAGTTTTAGGTATGGTTCTTTTCGTTACGCACATCCACACGTGAGATACAAGTTACAATAAGACAATTGTTACCATTAGATTTTATTTACTACAAAGAAACGGAAGAGAAACGATATGTTGGGTAAAACACATAACACTGATATCGGAGAAGTGAATTCAAAAAAAAAAGTTTTATTGATGTATAACGGTTTCGGCTTTGAACTACAAATATTTTATAGTTTTCAGTTATCATGACGATCATTGTTGTCATATTAAATTTGATCAAGAACGATAGCAAGTGCTAAAATGAATGCTTGATCTTCATCATCAGCAATTTCAACGCCATAAGTATCAGATGATGAAAAAAATGTTTTACTCACGATTGTCACTATTCTTCCATCTTTCGTGAATGTTAATGAATGAGCAAAGATATCAAGACCTTCTAAAGAATATTAACCGTAAATAGAATCGATATTAAATCTTTGATGAAAAACAGCGAATTTCTTTTTCAAAACTGCTAATTCTCAATCAGAATCTCCATCACGTACTTATAATATTTTGTAAGTTGGATGAAGATGAAGTAATTCTTGTTGAATTTTAATTACACCTCTATTAATAGAAAATAAAACAACAGTAAAATTTTATGTTTCTATCAAATAGTTTCTTGAAAAGTTCACGAACCATTTCATGTGAGCCACAGCCTAATGACAACAAGAGCGATGTTCGATCAGTGGTGGCGGATTTGCATCAACTTTTCAAATGTTATAGACGCAAATTTTAAATCAATATCTACCCAAACCGACAGACAACATATTGTACGCTTACAGAGGTATTTAATTTTCCCTCAATAACTCTATCAGCGAACTAGACAGTTTTTTGTACCATTTTTACAAAACCTATATGTTGGCTAGAGTGGAGCTTGACATAAGTGTAGGTAAAGTCTGTGAAACAACCTGATAACGTCTTTTATCTACAGTAAAAACTTTCAAAACAATCTTATATACCGTTCTGAACTATAGAGATTGCAAAGAAAAGGTACGAAAAATTTCAATTTTGTTTATACAGCTCGCTGGAAAATTGAATATCTCAGCAATAGCACAATATGTTTTCGATCAGCTAATATAGAATGTGCATCACAAACTTGTCACTACAACATACAGAAAAACGATACAACTCTGCGTGACCATTAATTGAGCATCTCTCTTTCGGTTCGGTCCTGACATAAGTGGAATGACTGCTATTCATGAGCTACCTAACCAGGTAAGACGATCCGCGCATCATTCTGAATAGAACATTTCAGAAAATTGAGTTTTATTCATTTCATAATCCACCGTGTAAATGGATGTGTGAAGAACAGATACAAAATATTTTTATTCGTCTTCTTTAGACACTTAGAGCTTGTCACGTAAAGGATTGCACTCTCTATGAAAACTGCAAGTTTGGGATATTGAACAATTGGAATAGTTTGATCGATTTTAGTTACTTAATTTCTAGCTATATCTTCAAGAACGAGTTTATCACCCACTGAAAAGAATTTTGATCGAACCGTATACACATCTTGACCCATTTCATTTTTAATTTTGAAATTATCACCAAGTGAAAATATTTTTTCTCGAATTTGATATCGACGAGCAGGTATCGTTTGTTTATGTGTATCTGCCGATGGACACATAGACTAGGCCATGATAAAATATATTGTACAGTGATGGAACAGCAACACACAAAAGAACTATAGCAGTAGCTGATATTAATTCATGTATTTATATGTCCCCAGGATTGATAAACATATGAATAAAGTGAATAAAAATGTTACTTTTCTAGGTAAACAGTCGAATACGCTTGGAACACTTGTTATTTTTCTTATTCAGAAGATGAATAAAACATATCGACTCATTGAATTGATTTATAGAATAGGAGGAAAAATGTAACGATGAATCACGGAAAGTATATGCTGAATATTATGATAATGACAAAGTGCTCATGCTTTGGGTGTGGGTGGGAGAGAAAAAAAAGATTCAAAACGACTCCCTGACCCCACATTCACACTCTAATATAACTGTTCCATGTTCAGACATGCTCGTCTCGAGGCTCTTCTTACCAGCACTAAGAGAACATTTTTTTCTGCAATGTTGTTGAGCTCCTCGTGTAGATCCTGTTCTGACTCAAGAAGTACATGCATGCTGACATCGTGGGACATCTTTGCCTGATGTCTCGTCGTCAAATGTCGATAGGCAGAACCAAAGAACAAATCTTCTTCTTTTCTCATACTGACAGATTAAGTAAGTAATCGTGCGAAGAGAATATTCTAATAGTGTATAGCTGATGATCATTGTGATACCAACCATTTTGTTTCGGATCACGATCTCACTGAAATACCACATGTGATAAATGCAGTAATTGTAAAACGAATGACTAATCAAAGTGCTCATGTATGATGAATGGTTGAGTAACAACTCTCATGTGCAGAGAACAGTTGTGCCGTTTTTTATATCATCGATGGGATCGTTCATTTTCAGATCCTAGACATCATTCTATAATACAAAGCAGCAACGACTTTCTCTCGAAATATTGTGCAGGTATTTGTTTTAATGCTTCAATTCACTCTCGCCACCATCAAGCTTTTCGCAATCTTCATTTGTCTATTCTGTTTCTGCTTTTATTTTTTTTGTTTACTATCAAGAAACAGAGGCAAACATTTGTCTTCCAGATTTCATGTAGATTTATTGGATTTCTTAAATTTAAAACTGTTGCGTCTTTTAGATATGGGTTTTAAAGAAATTCTTCAATTTTTTATTCTCAGTTCTACTGTCTCATTTTGTGCATTTTCACCGATTATTGTACCATCCGTTGTTTTTATTTTATCATGGTGTTGGTCTTCAACAACTATCCTCTCACTTTGGTTTTTCTATTGTTGTTAGTTGTACATTGATCGCCACACTGATTCACATGGTGGTCGATGGTGTGATTGGCTCCGTCAATGTTCGATTTGGACATACTGGGCACAATATTTTCCTCTCACATTGATTAAAAGCACTGATCTCGATCCGAATCGAAACTATATTTTCGGTTATCATCCGCATGGTGTAGCGGCTTTTGGAGCACTGGGAAATTTCGGCACAGAAGCAACAAATTTCTCTAGTTTATTTCCAGATATTCGTCCACATTTGATGCTTCTTCGAATACAATTTTTCAACCCATTTACACGCGATCTTTTGCTTGGACTGGGTAAAAATTGAACTTTTTCTGAATATATAATCACCGACAATAATGTTTTCACTATATATTAAGGTGCATGTTGTGTATCGCGCAATAGTTGTGAGTATCTATTGAGTGGTAAGTGTGGTCAAGGAAATGCATTGGTCATTATTATTGGTGGTCGACGTGAAGTAAAAGTGACACAAAAGAATACGATGATACTTTATTTGAAGTCAAGAAAGGGGTTCATTCGGCTAGCATTATTATATGGGTATTCTTGTTGTTTCTTGTATATTGATGAAGTTATACAAAAAATTTTCATATTTTGACATGTTTGCAGAGCTTCCATTGTACCTGTTATATCGTTTGGAGAAAATGAATTGTATGAACGGCGTACTTTTTTTCGGTTGATACCAAACGGTATTCCTTGGGGCCAGCTATTTATGGGACATATACCACTTCGACGTCGAGTCATCACTGTCGGTAAGAATGTGAATCACTATTATTTTTCGATAAAATTATAAAATGAAGAAAAAAATTTTAGTTGGTAAGCCGATTCATGTCGTTCAGACGGATCATCCGACTTTCAGTGATATTGACCAACTTCATAATGATTATGTTCAAGCAGTCGAGCAATTATTTCTCGATAACAAGAAAAAATACGGCTTGGGACATGTAAAACTCGAAATTATTTGAAATGAGTAAAGTGTTATATTCGATGTAAAACTTTATGAAAATAAGTTTCAATCCACATTGTAATTCTTGTTGACCAAAAATACTATAACACGATGTAAATTTTTAGGATCACTAACGTTGGCTAATCATTCTGTAGACTAAAAGGGCAAAACTTTGATAGAAAGAAATATGATTGCACTTTTTTTGAGAATATCTGTCAATAAGCACAAGGTATTTTTTATCATTTGACAATTGAAAATTCGTCAAAAAAAACTCATATAAATATGTCGGATACATGAATTTCAAAATAATTTTGCAGCATGTAAGATAAAATCATTAAAAAACAGACAATCTAATTCACTTACAAACAATTCTATTATCCAAATGCGTTTATATATGAAGGAAAGATTAACACATAACAAACGTATTATTAAGCTTCAAATTTATCGTTTCGATCATGTTCAACTTTGTATTGTTGCGACCTCTTTCGTTTGCATAAGATTGCTTCAAGTTGACATGTTGAAATTACCAACGAATCGGTTTATTATATTACACAAGCTACATTCATTCTATTATGCATGCTATATTTTACCAAAAACGTATATCTATATGAGAAAAAAAAAACAAAATATATAGAATTACTTTTGTTTCTCTGCTAGTTACTTGCAACGCTTTCTGTTAACTTTAATCTGTTTTAGAATGACTAATTTTGTTGAAGAACCATTTACAGTTATTTCACCACGTTATCAACATAAATTGTCCTGTGTTTTCCATCGTAAACGTTTTCCTTATATTGATGATCAAAATAGAGAACATGTAGTTATCATATGCCATGGTTATATGGCACATAAAAATACACTTTTTCTTCCGCAATTATGTCGTGATATATCAGACTCGGCTACAAATCAATTTCATTCAGTTCGCTTTGATTTTCATGGTTGTGGTGAATCAACTGGACGTGACGAATGGGACTATGGAGGATATGAAAATGAAGCTAAGGATGATCTAAGATGTGTTGTTGAATATTTACGTAATAGAAGCGAAAAATATTTTATTCGTGCTCTTATAGGACATTCACGAGCTGGAACAACGGTTTTACTTTATACTCTATACTATGATGATATACCAATTGTTATCAATATAGCTGGACGTTATCGACTTGAGCGTGGCATAGACGAACGGTTTTCTAAAAAACAATTAGATGAACTTGAAAAAAATGGTTCATTCACAATACATACCAATGATAATGGAAATTTTCGTATAACAAGAGACTCAATAGAACGTCGAAAAAATCTTGATTTAAGCCAAATTGAAAAAATTCGTAACGCAAAAGTTTTGAATATTTGGGGTGATCAAGATAGTGTTATTCCCGGTGATGATATATATTTATTTGATGAACAATTAAAAAATACCAAAAAAACCGAAATGATCATTGTATCAGATGCTGATCATTGTTTTACAGGCAAAGAAAAAGAATTAATTAATATAATTCAACGATGGATTCAGCAATCAATTGATTGATTGATTTGTGTCTTCTTTTTTTAAATTTCAGATAATGATTTTCTCTAAACAGTTTGATTCAAATGTTAACAATCTAATAATGGATACACAAAATATTGTTGGAAGTACAATTGCTGCAAGTGGAGATAATAATAATAATAATAATAATAATTTTCCACAACAACGTATAAATGGAAATACAACTACATCATCTTATGAAGGAAATTATCAAATTGACATATCATCAACTAATTTTGAACTTGAAACAATAACATCATCATATACTGGTCTTGTGCGTATTTATCGTTTATTATATGTAGCTGATCATTGTCCAACATTACGTAATGATGCTCTTTTGACCAGTTTTAAATATATACAGGAAACACATTTTATTTCTCTTTATAAACAAGTAAAACTAGAAATCTTTTGTTTCGTTTAATTTTAATGAAAATGTTACTTTTTTTTATAGATACTTGATGAAATTAAGAAACAAAATATACCATTACCAAATGATTTTGATGCCACATGGTATGAACGAACACAACGTAGTTATGCTCATAAACTTGAAAAACTTGATACTGATTTGCGAAATTTTCGTACAAATTCAATCAAAGATTCAATACGTCGTGGTCATGATGATCTTGGTGATCATTATTTAGATGCTGGAGATTTTTTTAATGCTGTTCGTTGTTATGTACGTTCACGAGATTATTGTGTTACACCAAGACATATGATAACAATGTGTATGAATGTTATAAAAGCATCATTTTATATGCAAAATTGGTCGAATGTTTTATCATATGTTAGTAAAGCTGAACAAGCTATTGAAAGTCTTGAATCTACATCAAAATCATCAACAGCACCATCGATGTTGTCATCAATGGTTAATCCAATGGAAGTATCAAGTGCCTCAACTACTAATGCAACAATTGCATCTGATGTAATATTAACATCACGTTTAAAAGTTTATGCTGGTATTGCAGAATTAGCAACAAAACGATATAAATTAGCGGCACGTCATTTTCTCGCTGTTTCATTTGATTATTGTTCAAATCATTTTCAAGTAAGATTTTTTGGGTTGAAATTGTTTCACATAAATGAAGCAGTGTTCATAGAATTCATTTATTTTAGGCTTTTTAAATTGCTCATTACATGCTTTTTCGTATGCATACTAAAAGATTGAAAAACTCTAAAATATTATCTCTAGAATAAAAAAGAAAACATGAGACTTTGCAATTTTTGATAGTTGTGATTGAATGAGAAAAGAACTCAATCTATGATAACAAAACATATCAAATACTTGTTCACGATTTTATTTTTCATTTACTCAAATCTTGAAAGTTGTTCATTTCTTTACTTAATAATTTTTTCTTTAGGATCTTATCTCACCTCAAACATTAATTCAATATGTTTGTCTATGTAGTTTAGCAACATTTGAACGATCAGAAATACATCGATTAGTAATCATGTCAACAAATATGAAACAATATCTAGAATTAGAACCATCTATTCGTGATATTCTTCATCAATTTTATGAAACATCATATTCATCTTGTCTTGCTGTAATGTCTCAACTTGAACCTATATTGGCATTAGATCAATATTTATCACCTCATTTACGTACATTATATTATGAAATTCGTCATCGAATAATAATAACATATTTTTTACCATATAAAAATGCTAGTATGACAATCATGGCACGTCAACTCAATACAACAATTGATGTACTTGAAGATGAACTTGTTCATTTAATTCGTTCGGGAAAAATAAAAGCACGAATTGATTCAAAAAATAAAATTTTATATGTTGCTGATACCGATCAACGTTGGCATGCATATCAACATGCACTAACAATAACAAAACAATCTGAAAAACATACTCGAGCACTTTTACTTCGTTCAGCAATAATTAAATCAAATTTACTGGTTAAAGATGAGTCAGTATTATCTTCAATTCGTTCACCAAGTAATAATAATAATAATGTTGCTCGTCGACAATTTGTACCGAATGTTGCTGGTAGTATGATGATGGATGAAGATGATTTATCGGATGAAGAAGCTATGTAAAATATTAACACAATTCTTCATTTTTAAATCTGTTATGAAATAGAAAAGAAAAACTATTATTTCTCTTTTTTTTCTTTTGCTTGTATCTTGTATCTTGTATCTTGGATAGAATGAAAACTAGGCATAGCATTAATTGATATCGACTGTGGTTTATTTATAAATTTATTCAAGAGAATTCTTTTCTTTTTCTTATTATGCTTGTTGTCATTCTTGATGAAGATGATGATGAGTTTTTGCCAAGAAAGAATTCATAAAGTGGTGTTCCTATGATCAAATTTTAAGAAAATTTCTCTTTCAGATATCAATGTCTAAGAAACGAAAAGCCAATGAAGATAATGAACAATTATCTTCAAAATCACATAGTAAAAGTAAGTTATTATTTATTTGTATGAAATCAACAGTTAAATGTTCTCTATAAAGAGTTATTTTTTTCTGCTACAAGTACAATTTTAAAGAGTTTGCAATCGCAGACTTTCCAGAAGTTTGATGAGGAGTAACATTTAAGTCATAGTCTGTAACAAAAAGAAAAGACTTCAAAAGTAAGTTTCCTAAACAAGGGTCCAAAAATTCGATACATTTTGCTTGAAAATTTAAAGTCAACTTAAAAAATAAAGTTTTTTCTCCTGAATAAGTAGATAAATTACTTACGAGTGAATTACTCGAGATGTTACCCCGTGTTTGAGGTGAGATCCCAGTCATTGCGTAGGGCCTTTTGAGATTAGCAGCAACCTAGAAGAACTCTTCTCTAGGTACTACCCTTTTGGAGTTAAGATCGTTACACAAGATTTTTTTTACTCTCGGCAGGCTATTTATAAAAAAAATGGACAAATGAATTTTTGGGCTTAAAACTTCGTCCATAAATAACTTTTCAAATCATTAGAGTCTCCTATAAATTTCAACCAAAAACAATGGTCTCTTCTCGAGATATCAAGTCCAAAAAAAAACGATGGTTTTCTACCAACAGACCGACAAATCTAATTTTTTTGGTGGATTCGAAATCTTGAGAAGAAATCATTGTTTTTTAGCTGAAATTTGTAGAAAATTCTAATGACTTGAAGAGCTGTCTATGAACAAAATTCATTTGTCCAGCTTTTTTATAAATAGCGTGCCAAAGGTAAAAAAAATCTAGTGTAACTATAATAAATTTAGAAACGCGAAGTATCATCTCGCGTAATATCCTCGTTAATCAAACGATTTGAGACGTTTTTCGTAGATATTTAAACCTTTATAATTTATTGTTTACATAGAGAATCGTTTATTGGGTGATAACAATCAAAGTACATCTGAAAGTTCCCATTCATCGATCAGTCAAATACATTATACACCATATGCATCATTAAACAAACCTTCATCATCAGAAACTGCACATTTATGGAGTCCATTGGATAGTCTTAATTCATCATTTTCATCGACATCTTCCAATTGTGATTATGATTCAATATCATCATCATATGGATCAGAGATACGAGCTAATAGTAATCTTACAACAACCACAGATGACTCATCAATGGTTTATAATCCAAACCATCAAATAGGTAAACAAGAAGTACATGGCGCAAAAAGAGAATTATTACCACAATTAAATGGTACACCACCACCAAAGAAAAAGCCAAGAAATGATGGAATATCAACATTACCAACTCCACCACCGTCCACTGATTTTTCATCTGTTGCGGCTAAAATGATGGTAAAAACTCACATAGTTTGTAGTTATGAAAATTTCAATTTCTGATTCTATTTAGGAAAAAATGGGTTACGATAAAAATCGTGGTATTGGTCTTAATGCCAAAGGTCCAACAAAATTAATTGAAGAAAGTAAACAAAAAGGACGCCGTGGTCTTGGCTTTAGTTATAAAGATTTTAATGATGAAACAGTTGACTGGGATTTTAATAATGATCCTGTAAATAGATTTTATCTTTTATCTTCTGATTTATATTTCATTTGACATCTATAGGCTCCAGTAGAAGAAGAAGTTCATTGGTGTCCATCTAGTGATCATCTTGAAGCTCCATTAAATCTCGATGAAATGCGCGAATGGATTACACTTGGACCAGTACAGATAAAATAAATATCTTCTTAGAAAAGCTAATATATACTGTTTTTAAATGTAGAAAAAGAAAGTAATCGATGATGAAGTTGAATTTTGTGATGAAGATATTCTTAAAGAAATGCTAAATGGAAAAGTAAATAATTTCTTATAAAAAAAGAAACAAAAATTCCAGCATAACTTATCATTATTTTAGACTGTATTCGATGAATTACCACAAAAAGAAATGGAAGAAGCTCGAGCACGAAGTAATGTCTATGAAACCATTGGACAATCAATTTTTCTCAATCGGTATGTCAATAAATTCATATTATAAATGATTTTATTTTTTATATCAAATAGAGCTGCAGTTAAAATGGCTAATATTGATTCTGTTTTCCAACGAATATTTACCGATCCTAAAACTCCTAATAATCAAGTAATTCATTCTTTTCTAAATTTATTCTAATCTATTAAATATTATCTAGAGATCACTTGTTCACCCTGATGAACCATTATATTTTGCTGATATATGTGCTGGTCCCGGTGGTTTTAGTGAATATATTTTATGGAAAAAACAATGGCGTGCAAAAGGTAAGTTGAATCATTATTAAGTCTTGTGAAATATGACTTAAAAGGAGTGTTGAAGTATAAGAGTAGAAAATGTAAACCACCAAAGACGTGGCAGACATCTTAGCAAAAACACATCATCGACCGTGACTACCGTTGTTAATATACGATTAAAGACTGTCTATCAACAATGTCTCGTTATAAAAGATGACCTATTTCCTTATTGTATATCTGGAGAACTAAGTAAAAGCATGGTAAAAATAATTTCCTTAGGATTAACAATAGCAACTATTGTGCGTTTCAAAATATCGTACTCTCCACTGTTTTTTGAATAACTCAAAAACACAAACAACTGGAGACCTGCGCTTTTCACCCATCGAAAGAGAAGACATAAGAACGTGTTTTTCTTCAATATTATACAAGACGAAATAATTTTAAAATAAATCATTGCTACAAAACATTACAAAAAATACATGAAAACGATTTGTTAGTCCGATTAAATTTTGATTTTGACAGGTTATCTAGGTAGAGGAACTTTAAATCAATAGTTCAAGATATAATTGGAATGATTATCTTCCCATATCCTAATATTGAACAAACAAAATTGTTTATTCAGTCGCACGAAAACTATGAATTATTTTTAATTTTTAAACATATTTTCTTACTATTTGTCAAAATTTCATCTTAATGATATACCGTTTTATATATTTTTGCAATGTTTTCCACAAATGACTGATTTTAAAATGATTTCGTCATATACAATATTGGAAAAAAAGACGTCTGCCTGTTTCCTCTTTGGATTGGTGAAAATCGTAGGCTTCTAAATATTTGTATTCTTGAGTTGTTCAAAAAACAGTGGAAGGCACTATATTTTGAAACGGACAATACATCATGTTCCACATTTTAATTCTACAAGGATTGCGCTAACAGATCTTTCTAATTTGCTTGCTCTTTCTTTTAAGGATTTGGTTTTACATTAAAAGGAAAATCAGATTTTACTCTTCATAAGTTTCTTGCTGGTACACCTGAAACATTTGATCCATATTATGGTGTCAAAGATATTGATGGTGATGGTGATATATTTAAATCTGAAAATATAGATGCTTTACAAAATTATGTAAATAAATGTACAAAATATAATGGTTTACATATTGTTATGGCTGATGGAGTAAGTTTTAGAAAAGATAAAAACAAATTCATTTTCTTATTGTAAATGTAGGGATTTTCGGTTGAAGGACAAGAAAATATTCAAGAAATTTTAAGTAAACAATTATATTTATGTCAATTTCTAACAGCTTTGTCAATTCTTCGACCAGGTTAAGAGAAACATATTTCTTTTATCTGATTTAATCATTTGAGTTCTTTTTTTAGGTGGTCATTTTGTTTGCAAACTATTTGATTTATTTACACCATTCAGTGTCGGACTTGTTTATTTAATGTATCGAACATTCAATCAAATATCGATTCATAAACCAGTTACAAGTCGACCAGCAAATTCTGAACGGTAGAAAAACATAAGAATTTTTTATTGTTAAAGCTTAGAAATTATTATTTTTCATAGATATATTATTTGTAAAAGTCTTCGTGGAGATATTCGAGATATTGTACGTACCTATATGTATGAAATAAATGCTCTTCTGAATCAACATCAAGCTGATACTGAGCATAATGATGTTCAATCAATTGTTCCAATGAATATTTTAAAAGAAAATGAAAAATTTTATGAATATATTCGAAACTCGAATAATCAGTAAGCTCTTTTTCTCTAACGACGGAACATTTTTAATTGAACAATCGCTTTTTCATCAAAATCTAGAGGATTATTGGTTATCTGGCCATGCTGATTTCGAATATAACCATAAAAAATCCCCTTTTGACTATATTAGAAATCAACATGGTTAACAACGTACAGTCTACTAGCTTCTGATGAAAAATCGATTGATCAGTTGAAAATGAGCCCTCATAAATTTCAATATCTAATTGAATATGAATTGATTTAGATTGGGTGAAAATCAAATAAAGAATTTAAAAAAGATTCGTGCTTTTGTTAGCAATGCATCTTTGAAAGATTATCGACAAAATGAAATTCGTTCACAATGTCTTCACTTATGGGAGGTTAGTATTTTTATTTTCTTTCTTAAAAATAAAACAAGTTTGATTTTGATTTTAAGATACCAAATGAACCACGACAAAAACCAAAAAGATTAATGTACAATGATGTTCAAAATGATCTTATTTTTCAAGTAAATAATTTCATTACTTTTTTTTTTTCTTATAAAATTGAATTCTTTAGCTTGGCAATGGTATGGAAAATATTCTTTGTAATATACCAAATTTATTTAAACATTCTGTTCTTGATCAACATCAAATACAATCATTATTTGATTATCGATGTACATTGTCATTAGGTGAACCTGTTCTACTCGTATCATGTGGTGTAAGTTTATTTTGAATATATAGTTTTTTTCTATTTAATAATGTTTTATTATTTGTTTTTTTTTCTAGCGAAGTTCAGTTTTTGCTTTGGAATTAAAAAATAAAGATAAACGCTGGACGTCATTAGAACGAACACCATTTAAAATTGAATTACCACCACATACTTTATTACTTGCCGAACGTGTCCAAGAACAATTTGATGATGTAAAAATAATCTGTTTTTTGTTTTCTTTTTTTTTATTTAAAACAAAATGGAAAAAATATTTAGGGTAGAAATAATCGTCAACGATCAGCAATTTATATAATTGACGCGTATTTTATTGCTAATGAAAACATGCTTTTTCAAAATGGACGTCCGATGGTTTTTATGGATCGGTAGAGATGATAATTTTGATTAATAAGATTTATTTATTTTTAATTTCTAGATATCGTTCATTAAAATTATTTGAAAAAACAATTAATAAACCAGCTCGTGTTGATCTCGTACCTATTCGGATTCATGAACAATTACGTTTGGAACAGATGGATGTCCAATTTGAAAAGTATATTTACAAGGAGAATTAATGAGTGGTTTTTTTTCTTACAAGTAAAAATGTATATCGATGATGCAATGTTCACGAGATAGAGAAAAATTTTGAGTTCTTGATTGAGATTTAATAGAGATCTTAAATACATAAGGAATTGTCTGTATAAAATTTCAGCTTTTCAATATAATTAGATGTTTTTAAGATTGAGTTCTAACTCAAAAGATTGACTTGCAGTTATAGAAACTGGATAGGGATGCATCAGTCCAATCGGACTGGGTTATCGATCAGATTGGCTATCAAGCTCTACTGAATATCCAGCAAACTGATCTAAAGTTAATTGGGTTCGAACTTCGAAGAATCCAAATCTGAAATCAGAATTCTCAAATTTTGAGTTCGATCTCTTCCACTAGAAAATAGGTTTTTTAAGAAAAAAATAATTTTTTTATAAAACTTGGTCAAACTTTGTCGAGGTTGGAGAATCGGAATCTGAAATTATAATTTCAAAATTTTGAGTTTGATTTTTTCCACTAACAAAAAGGTTTCTTTAAGAAAAGTTATAGTTTTTGTAAAAAAAAGTCAGACTCAAAATTTTGGAAAACTAATCGCAGATTTAGATTCCTCGCCCCTAAAAACCTTTGATCAAAAATAAAAATACTGATTATCGATTCAGTTCTAGGTCAGCTTACTAGATATCCAGTAGAGCTGGTCACTCAGTCGGGACTGAAACTGGATCTATTAATTTGAAGTCGAAATCGAATTTACTGCATATATAGAATTTTTCGAATTGTATACAAATAAAAGCTAGCTAAATAAATATATTTTTAGATTTGGAAATATTATTTTTGAGTATTATAAAGTTTTCGAATCTAAATAGGTAACGATAATTCCACAAATTGCATTTTTTTTTTCAAAAATTTATATAATTTTTACAAGTTTAATCTCTATGTTTGACTTTTACCAAATTAAACGTTGATATCTCACATTGCGCTGTGGTATTAAAAATCTTCAGAGACAATCTAGTAGAAAAATTAATATTTCTCGTTTAATCTAATATTTGTCTATTCATCAACAACTAAACTGAAAATTGTTGCTAGTTAGTTGTTTAAAGAATAATTGTTATTATATGTCTAGGTTATGTACTTCTGGATCATTAAATCAAATTGATAGTGAACGATTACGGTTTACTAATAACGAGATTGAAAGTAAACCATGTGCAGCAGTTCGTGGTTTATGGATATTTAAATTTGTTCAATGTAAGTATGAATGAATTTTTTTTCTTCTGTTGATTTATTCATTTGTTATATATAGATCCGTGGACAATTTTATTAAGTAAATCTCATCAAACAAAATATTTTCATAATCAAATGAACCGTACATCAATACCAGCTGCTCCACCTGATTCTTCACATGTAGCTTCATTACGGTACTTGATCGATTGCTTTTCTTATTTTATTTTTTCAATAATATATTTAAATTTTAGATCAATGCTTGAAAACAGTTTCTATTGGGATTTTAATAATCGTGATGATTCTGTACAAAAATCAACTTTTATATCATTTATTCAAGAAAAAAATCATGAAATACAATCACAACAACGTGCTACTCTTCACCGAGCTGCTACTAGTAGCAACAATTAAGAAATAAAAACAATACTCTGTTGCGTTTGGTTTTGTTTTAGTGATGATCATAAAACTATTCTTGATATGTATATCATTTTTCTGGTTGTGATAGTTTGTGCGTGTATATTATTCATTTAATTTTGGTAAATGATTTGAGCAAGATGTTACTGAAAAGATTCATTTACAATTATTATTAACTATTTTGTGCTGTTTTTTTTTTCTTTGTGTGTATGAGTTATGATCATGATAATTAAGAAACTATTCTCTATCTGTTTGCCAAAGATGAAGAAATGAAGCAAGGATTATTTGTTTTGCGAACAAAACAATTTTGCGTGATTGTATGTAATTGATCTGAATTTGTTTGTTTCTGTTTTCGGTTTAAGAGAAAATAAATCATATGCTATTAAAATACAAATTATTAATAGAGAAGAGATATAGCCGTTATTTCTTACATAACCTAAAGCCCTCTATTGAACGTAGAGTACGTCGGATTCGAGTTCAGCTCTGAAATTTTTCCGTTAATCGAATCTATATCCGAAAGTTTGTGACCCAACAGGCTCTAATTGAACAAGATGTTATTGACTACTATTTTCCAAGCGGAGATCTATTCATACATGAAATATATATTGTCAAAATGATATGGTTATGATCAGAGAAAAATAATGAATACTGTGTAACTTTATTACACAATAGCGGTGATTATTTATTCGTACAAGACAGAAATTCGTTAGAATCTATAGATCAAATTTTTATTTACAATAACGATCCGATTTCATTTTTTCACGTCTATCAAGTAAAGCTTCATGGAATAAACCAGATTGCTTTGCATTAACCAATTCATTCATATCTCCTGGATTAATTCGTAATTTTTTATCTTGAAATTTTTGAAATTTTTTAACATAATTTATTTCTGTATCACGAATAGAACCTTGTTCTTCAATAGGTAATTCTTTTTGTCGTTTTTCTTTTTCATGTATACGTTTAGCATTTGATCGTATTTGTATAAAATTTGCTTCAGTTGCACTATCATCCATTGCAACAAGATCACCTTCATCATTAAAACGAATAAATTTATTACTACTTGCTGATAATGCTACATTTCCATTTTCAAAAACAGGTTCAAAATGTTCACGCATTCCAATAGCATCTATATAAATAAATAAAAAAGAAAATAAATAAAATTTTTATCGTTAAATTTCTAAAATACCTGATCGACCAATAACCAAACCATTTTTATTAATTGCTAAATATTTGCCAAAACCAGATTTTAATGCTATTTTATTGTCTGATATTCGAATAGCTGTTAAAATTTGTTGTTGTTCAGGTCCTTCACCAAATGGTCGTGCTGGACCAACACAAAATAGACCATTATCTAATGAATGAACATAACTATTTGTACCAAATTCAATAGCAACATTGCCATTAATTTCATGAAATTTTGTTACTTTCCACCAACCACCATGTCTACAAGACAAAGAAACATAACATCAACTTTATTTTTGATCAGTTAGAAGGAAAAAAGAACCTTACTGGACATAATCTTGTTCATCATCGTCTTCATCATTATCAATAACTGGCTTTTGTTTTTTGGATGACGATGCTGATGACGAAGAATGCTTCTTGCGTTTCTTTACACGTGAAGAATCATCATCAATACCTTTTAAATTAAGTTTTCCTCCACGAACTGAATACATCTGAAAACAAACGAAAGAATTGTTTTTTTTTCTTAGCTAAAATTTTCTTTTTTTTCTTTCTTCACGCACAAGACAAACAAAAACATAAGATAAATGTGGCAATAGAATGAATGATATAAATATCAAAAAGAATTGTTTTTACTCTTCATTTGTCGCAGCAATAACACGACAAAGTGGATTTTGTTGACACATTTCTAAATCAACTTTAGGTCCAATCAAACTGCGAATATTATTGATACCGTATAAAATCATTGTTGGACTTGAAAAAAGAGAAAATATAAATGGCAATTACTTGAAAAAAAAACAAGAACTAATGGTATCCTTCTCCGTCTCTTTTTGACTGTTTCTGTTTCTTGAAAACGATATAATGGATCAAAACTGAAATCTTTACCACAGATGACGCATCAAAAACAAGGAGATGCGTGTTTGATTAAAAAAAAAACCTTGAAATGGTCAAGTATTACTGCTGCAAATTTTAGTCCAACTGAACAAAGTTAGATTGGAGTCGTAAGCAACCAGGATGCAATTCTATGAAAACTAGAATTTCCTAGAAAAAAATCTCAAAAACCCACTTAAAAAAATTTTCCTCGGACATATGTCTCCTTATTTTTTGTGCTCTATCTGTGGTAAAAATATCACCTTGATTGATTGTATTGTTTTCGAGAACCGAAATCAATCAAAAAGAACAGGAGGGAATAACCCTTAACTAAACACTTACCGTTCAAGTGAAAGACCCCAAGCAATAACCGATACATCTTCTGGAAGACCCATCGGCAGTAACATTTCAGGTCTAAACATTCCTGAGTTTCCAACTTCAATCCATTTTTTCAAACCTTGAATTTTATCAAATAAAAATACATTATAAATAATAATAAATACAAATAATTTCAATACCTTCATGATAACTAAAAACTTCCATTGATGGTTCAGTATAAGGATTATAAGCAGGTTTGAAACGAAGTTTAGTCATACCTATAAAAAAATATTTTGATTAAAGAAATAAAATAAAATATTTTTTTTTTACCAAGTTTACGAAAGAATTCATAAAGAACGCCAATAAGATCACCTAATGTTAAATTATAATCAGCAATTAAACCTTCAATTTGATGAAATTCGGCTAAATGTGTTGCATCAAGATTTTCATTTCGAAAAACTTTATCTATTGAAAAATATTTTGCCGGTTTGAATGTTTTCTAATCACAGAACATAAAAATAAAAATAAAAAATTTCATAATTACAATTTATATCCATGACATACTTCTTGAGCTAATTTATAAAGCATTCGTGTACTAACAGCCGTTGTATGTGTTCGTAAAACATTTTTTTGTGCTTCTTCAAGTTGCCAATCATATTGATAACCTATGGAACCAAAAGCACCAGTTGAATGAACTTGTTTAACTTTTTCAACATAATCTTCAGGAAGTTTCGTTGATATAGCTGGATCTGATAAAAAAAATGTATCTTGTGCATCACGTGCTGGATGTTTTTGTGGTGTAAATAATGCATCAAAATTCCAAAAACTATTTTCAACAAAATTATTTGTTGGCATTTCTGTGAAACTAAATAATAGATTAACATAATGTTCATTTTGTTTAATTCATTATTTAATATTTTTACCCCATTTCAAGAAATATTTGTCGATATTCAGTTCGAACTTTTAATAATGGATGTAAACATCCATAAGATGGCATCATTCCATTAGCATTGAAATTATATTGTTTAAAATGTAATGTTTTCCATGAGCCACTAAAATATTTATGGTTTAAAAAAAAACAAATAAGAATAATTTTTAAAATAATCTTTTACGTTTGTAACATTTCAGCTGTTAATTCAGTTTCACCTTTTGATATATTTGTAGAAAAAGCAGCTGATTTTGTAACAATAAAGTAATTAATAACACTAAGATAGGAAATAATAAAAATTTCAACATATAAAAAATATAAATTAAATCTTACACATCTTCAACTAATTTTCTTTTTTTTAAATCATTTACTTCTTTAGCATTCGGATCAGACAATTGTAATGATTGAATACGTTTAAGTACATTTTGTACTTCATCATGAACATTATCTACCTAAAACAAAAAGAAAAACATTACATAAACGAGTTAAGATGTGTCAGATAACCGCATCAAGATAGAAATCCTGATGAATCAGAGACAATCATTTGAAGAAATTCTCATCATTCACTTCAAAACTCGTTTTTACCTTGCGTTTGACTATTGGTGGTTTAGATGATTTATCAACTTGTAACCAACCATTATTCATTGCTTTAGCAAAGCCAATATTAGAATTTGGTAATTTCTAAAACGAAAATAATTATTGACTAACTAAGAATGATCAGATGTAGATTCGAACTCAACAGTCACTACCCTTAAACTACTAGACTAACGTTTCTCGAATATTTATATACTAAAATAACAATCATAAGAAAACAAAATGAACTCTTACCATAAGTTCAGATTGTTCAATCCCTTTATCAATAGGAACAGCTTGAAATAATTTGTATTCATAACTTCCATTGTCAATTAAAGCTTGTCCTTCATCAGTTGGTGCTATTGATCGTGATGTACGTTGTTCCATATTGATAATCTATTCAATAAAAACAACAAAAAACGAACTAATAATGAAGAATAATCTTAAATAAAATTTACTTACATCACCTATCGATTGAATACTACGAAAAGTACCAATGACAAGTTGATGATCAAGTTTATGTTCATTTGCATATGACCATGTATTCAATTCATCATGTGTGCTCAAATATAACAGAAGATCATTTTGTAATGAAGCAGAAGTAGGTTTCTAAATAGGTTTTAAAAACAAATAGAATTTACTTAATCATCTTTTTTGCAAAAAAATTTTTTAGAATTAATATTTTAATTTACCTTCGAAGTTGATGAACATGCAGTGGCAGTATTTTCTTGCTGATTACTCATATTACAATATCTTGAAACTGAAAAAGGAAATAGATTCTTTTATACTAATAATTACAAAAGTAATTTTTTATTTCCAAATTTCTATTTCATCATCCTCTCTAATCGGTTCGCATCATCTAGCAATCATAAATTTTCTTCTATATCTAGCGACTGATAATGAGTGACATCTAATTTCTTGATATCGACAAATACTAACATATTCTCTATGTATTACTAATCGAGCTTATAGTCCACTGTTTGCTCAATGTTATCTTAAAGACAGAGAGAAATATATATTTATAGATAAATATATGAATACAAAAACTAATAAAGATAAATAAAGCAGCGAACCATATTTAACGATTGTGCAATAACAAAAATATGCTTATATTGAAAAATTAAATTGAAACATTGACGACAATTTCAGAACGATAAAAAAAATTCTGCACTCGATGAAAGGTTACCCTGTTTTTTTTTTCTTTAACTGTTGAGCTACATGTTTCCATAGTAAAAGTATTGCATATACACAAAAATAAAGATTTCTTTATTGACTATTGCATTAAACACAAGTTAATCAACATTTTATTCATAAAAATTTTTTAATTCAATGGCTGAATCAAATACGACGACTTCGCACGTGTGGAAACGAGAAGAACAATGTAAGTTTACTATTTATTACTGCTACATTTATTTCGATCTTTGTTTCACTCCTCAAGGGGTTTCATGTATTCTTCAATTTTCATCTCAATATAATGACAGTACATGGTCTGCCAATCAAGTCATTGGACCACCAAAAGTCTATCCACGGCATGGTATGATAAATAAATAAAATATTTAAGAAAAAAAAAAAAAAACTTTTTTCTTCATTTAAATAAATAGGTGATATAGTTGGTGCATGGGCTCAAGGTAATCGAGCAAATGATGAATTTATTATTGTTGGATTTGAACGAGCTGTTTATCCGGAACAAATTGATATATATGAAACATATAATCCTGGTGCTGTTATTCGAGTATCTGCACGCAATGGTATGTAGAAAATTCTTTCAAACCGGTAGTATATAATTGAATACATATATATATATATATAATATAAACATAGGAAGAGATAATACTGATTGGGGAACTGTTTGGGAAACAGAAGCACCACATGTTGAAGCTCAATGTACGTCATATAAAATTGAAAAAGAAATTTTAAAAATCTAAATTTTATTTATTTTAGCTCGTATTTTTTCTCTTCCATGTCCAAATCTATTATGTGGAGAAATAAATCAAATACGTCTTGATATTAATTGTAGTGCAGCTGGAAATTGGTGTGAAATTGATTGTATTAAATTAATTGGTTATACATCTCATAATGATTTTTCATATAAAGAATTAGCAACAAATTTAAAACAATTACTTCTTGATGATAGTTTAGCTGATGTTACTTTTCAACTTGATAATGGACAGACAATTTCATCTCATCGTAATATTCTTAGTAATCGATGTATTTATTTTGCTCAATTATTTGAGGAATATTCATCGAATATTCAAGAACCAATAAAAATACCAAATACATCATATGAAGCATTTTATCAAATACTATATTTTATTTATACAGATACACTTGAACCTGTATTAAATTATGAAATATGTCTTGAATTAATGCGTAAAGCAGATGAATATCATTTAAGTCCAATATATGATAAGGCATTCAATATTTTAAAGAAAACTATTAATAAAACAAATGTATTAAAATTATATACTCAATCTGGTCTTTTTTCAACATCATCAAATGATAATCAACAAGACGATATAATTCTTACTGATGTTGTTAATTTATGTGTAGAATTTATTCAGAAAAATCGTCGAGATGTTTATCTTAGTGACCAGATGTATCAATTAACAAAAGATATGCTATTACAACTTATTCAACTTGTTCAGTGATGTAAAGAGTTTTTTTTTAAATTTAAATACATTTATTAAAAAAAAAACATAGATTTATTCTAATAATTATATGCGTCCCAAAATAACTGAGGATAATTTGTTAACGAAACTTTTGATATTTTGAATTTTTTTTTCACACACACACATCTAACCGAGATCATTCATTTTTCAAAAGTTTCAGATTTCTAACTAAAATTAATACTGCAATGCATGGACAAAAATTAACATACATGATTAATCATACTAGGTTTTTGTAATATTTTTACAATGTAGTCTATTATGACAAAGCGGTTTAAAGTTGTTTTAATTATATAGGAATGTGTTTATATGTAAAATCTTTTAGATTTAATGATAAAATGTTATTTTAAATATCCATCAATTTTCAATAACAGGAAAGATTGTAACTGATTTGTATTGAATTCAAATCATCTTAAAAACAACATGGAGTATCGATCGCATGGTTTCTAGCACAATTATTTAATGATCATATAGAATCAGTAGACAGCTATGTTAAATTTGTTGTTCTATGAAGAACGAAATATGTGTGGAATGTACTGAACGAAAAATTTCACGGAAAATTTGTTTGATATGTCATTACATTTAGAAAAAGAAAATGAAGGAAATTTTCGGAAAAAATGATAGACGAAATACCTTATTAAATACAATTGCTCGTAGAAAGCAATGAAGAGTATGTTCATACATAATTAAGCTTTATTGTAATTTACGCTTTTGCAAAAATTTCTCCTATTGCGAAATAAAAATGTTACAAAAATCGAGTAAAAAAATTTATGTTTTGAAATTGTTCATGTATTTCAGCAATAATTTTGGCAAGAGAGTTGAATATTTGTAAAGTTAAAGATATTAGCTAGATATATAAGTAATTAAAATTCCTGTCTTCTATGTCAAAAAAAAGTATGAAAAATGCCGTTGACAATTTATTCTCAATTATTATGAGATACCCTTTATGGATTTTTCTTCATCTGATAAAAGGTCTAGCAAATACTCTGTTACTTATTCATATAATCGATTTTTTTATTCTCATCGATTGAATCAACATTACAAACTTTCAGTAAACATGAGATAGATTGCTTTTGAATATTTAAATTAAAATTATCAATATCTTAAAAGTAGACAATAAGACGCGCCAAAGTATTTCAAGTATTGGACATCATTTTTTGTTTACATAAAAGATATTAATTTATAACGCTCGATTTGAAAATTTTACTTTTTTGTTTTCTTCTACACGTCTATCATATGTCGCAAGCTTGCAGTCGCAAATTAGCGACTGCTGTAGCTTCAAGAATCTATACAAAACAACGACGAAATTTAAGAAAAACTATTTCGAATCATACTATTATTGCTGCTACATCATTTTTATCTAAAAAATATGATCTTCTGCCATGTTTTTGTGAACATGATCCAATACGAATAACAAAACGTTGTCAAGCATTAAATTTATCTAAATCATCAAATGCATTTTGGCATCGAAAAAGTAAATCGAAAGTAAAATTAGTTAGTGAAGAACAACAACGAAATAATTCAACTGCATTTGAAAATCAACAAGCAAAATCCTCACATTCTCGTAATTTTCAAACATTTAGAAAATCTATTATTCAACGATTTAAACGCAATAATAAACAAAAAATGCCGACAATCACAGCTCGATCGGTCATACATAAACGTACAAATACCTATCCTATCAAACATAGGAATAATGCAGATCATTCTCTTGTTGATTCTTCGAATCCTGTGGAAACGAATTTTGATCAACCTTCATCAACTCGAGATGATAGTCAACATTCTTCGTATGATTCTTATCAGCTTATTTTACAGGATAATTCCAATGATACTAATAATAAAGAAGAGAAAAATGATACATTAGAACTACCTCTATCATCATTGCAAACCGAACAACAAAATATCAATGCAACGAACAAAATAAGTCAAACTATACAAGAAACATCTCAAACAATTATGAATGATCTTGATTCATCAAGAAAAGCAAAACAAACTGCGGGTAAAACATATTGTATATAAGTTTTTTTTCTGACATATCTCATCAAATAAACATAGTTTCTGTCGGGGTATTAATTATTTTTACGAGAGAACGTATTTAATTGTCAAATGCCGTTCGACTTCGCACGAAGGCTATGAGTGGGTATCGATGAGACTAAGGAAAATTCAAAAGAGTTTAGATTCATGGCTGACTATTAAAGGTTTATGATCGTTTGTATGAAACTGTCATTCATGACAAATCATTTCCGAAAAACTCGAAACAGCGAGTTTCAAACTAAAATTATATTTACAGGTACGTTTAATAGTCATTAGATAGATCTGAAGGTTTCAGTACTAATGTACATGTCTTTCTTGAGATAATTAATTTCCAAGTAGAATAAATCATTGTGTTCTGCTTAAGTAAACGACTGTTTTCTTTTTCGTTGAAACTTTTTTAGAACTATCTAATTACTATCAAATGTACCTGTAGATATAATATCAGCTCGAAACTCTTCAAATTTTTCGAAAATGTCTTGCCCTCTATGAAGATTTCATACAAACGACCATAACTCTTCAATAGTAAGTCATGGATTGAAACTCTTTTGAATTTTTCTTACTCTCATCGAGACCTATTTATAATCTTAATACTAAATCGAACAGTGTTCGACAGTTGAATATGTTCCTTCATTAGTTTTTTATATTTATCAAGTATTCAAACTATTCCTCTCAATTCAGCAGTTAACAGTTTTAGTAATTCTATTTTATCAATTGTAGTCATTTCTCAAAAACAACACTCTAATAAGACACGAAATGTATCGACTCGTACAACTACTGGTTTATCAAAAGGAAAAACATCAAGTAAACGAAAGCGTATTTCAAAACCAAAAATGTCATCAAAAATATCTTTATCAAAGAAAAAAATTATCACAACATCAAAACCTAAGAATATTACAGCTTCTTTATCAGTTATTGGATCGACAACAAATGTCAAACGAACAACTTATGAACGTAGTCCTTTTTCTAATCCAAATATATTTCATTCTATGCCACGAATGCAAAATTCGTAAGCATAAATTGATTCCTACAAATTCTTTTTAATCATATATATCTACATATGTACATTCTCATTGTAGAGATGAAATAACCAAAGATAATGTGTATGAAAATCATCTATGTTGTAAACCAATTACATCTGTTAAAGGTTTATCAATAGATGATAAAAAAAAATTAATTGAACATGATTATTTAACATTAATATCTTTATTACCAATTTATCTTGATTCACAAGGCAATTTTCAACATAAGATTCGTGAAAAAACTAATATAAGTCATGATAGTGCTGTAGAACTCGATCGTTTAATGAATGAATGGGGTTCAGCACGATTATTTATTGGTGCTAATAGTCCCTACAAAACATTATCACAAAATGTATGAGAACAATAAATTCAAATTTATTTTTCTCTATCACTATTTGATACGAAAGGAAAAAATCTACCAAACATCGAAAGAAAAAAAAAAGAGCAAACATAATTCTTTGTTTCATTTTCACTAGAACAACATAATAAAAAAAGAAATAGATAATTATAATTATCTTTTTGTTTCCGATTTTAAATGACTACTTTTTCTAATGACTATACTTTTAAACATGGAATACGTTTTCGTTATTTGATGACTAGTACATGCATCAATAAGATTGAATGATTTTAAAACAGTTCCATCAATATGTTTATGTATGGAATAGATTGTATGTTTAACAGTATCTGGTAATCTAGTTAATTGAATAACAATATAATCAATTAATATTAATATCCAAACAATAGGTCTTTGTTGTGATGTTGACGATTGTAATAATGAGACTGAAGAAAGATCACTTGTTGTTGTTGTTGTTGATTTAGTTGGACGTCTTACACCATAGACTCGTAACGTTAAAAAATAGAGATATTTAATAAAAATAAATGGTAATATTAAGAGTCGAGCAAAAAAACGTACAGAATGCCAAAAAGTAAATAGAAAGAAAGTAATCGGATTGTCTGAATCAAGAAAATTACTTAAATTGAGTTGTTTACGTTCACGAATTGAAGAATAATCAACAAGAATAGGTGCTTCAGATGGAGGAATCGGTATTGGTTCTTCGCGAAGTGGTAGAACATTAAAGGAAACACCACGTCGACGTAATGGTCGTCCTTCTCGACTTGATTTAGGTGTGGATAAATTTGATCTTTCATCCATATTAAGAATTCAATATAGCTGTGATACTAAATATACAAATGTATATAAATACTAATTTTTTCATGTGAGCTGTAAAGGAAAGCAAAAATAAAGATAAGCTTAAAATATCATGATTGGTTTTTAACCGCAACATATCAAATTAATGTAAATGACAGATACCAAAGGGGTCGCATCAATTTAAAAGTGAATATGAACGAAATAAAACTTGATACTATGAATAATATTATTATGGTTAATCGAACTGTTTATCAGTGATTTAGTTTGTCTAACGCGAGTTATTTCATCATACTTGCTATAAAAACTATTCACAATATTACATTCAAAATATTTTTATCACATGAATATTCTTTTGATTACAATAGCTAAATTTCAAATAATAGTAGTGAATGTTATGTTACAAGGCAAAAGAAGGCTAAGATTGACAGTAGATACGATGAAACGATAGAAAATTAAGATTTCTTATTTTCGATTATAGCTCAAGTCACATGCAATGAAAATAATTGATATCATGTAAGCTCGCAAAATCCCATCTTATTTTTGAGAATGCGTAGAGACCTTTGTAAAATTCATCTTTTTCATGTACTAAAAGTCGCTAAATCTATACGATTTCGAAGAAATATGTTGATTTTTCTAAACCTTTTTTTTTTGTCGAAACTGAACATCTTACTATAATTTTAGATTTATTTAAAAAGAAAAGATCATATAGAATTCTTTGACATGAACTCTTTGCTGTCTAAACTAGCACACTGGTTAATTTCCACTGATGCTTTAGCAAATATATAACTACATTAATCTTAACGTATCAAAAGTCAGAGATTTATTGTAATTGACGAACAACAGAATTCATTTGGAGACAATAATTATTTACAAATTTCCATTGCTATTGTTTTCTGTTTAAATTACGTTTCATCGTTGCTAAATCTTGTCATAATGAATAATATTGTATTGAGTATTATTATAGATACTAAATTGATTGCAATATGTATGAAAGTGTTGATTTACTCTAGTTCTAATTAGATAAACATTTGATTAGAATATTTATTTCGCGTAAAAACAGGATTATATCACGGCTATTTTATTTATCAAGTGGATCTTGGATGAAGTATTATTTTTTAATAAAGATTAAACTATTGACATGTCCACCTCTTTGTTTACATATGATCAATAGCTAAATGCATCTGTTGTCATGAATATATAAAAAGAAAAACAGAAGCAGAATGAAGTGATATTGTTTCGCTTTGATTAAATTTCACTATTTCAATTAAAATACAATTAGTTATCCCTTCTTCTATCAAGTGAAAGACAAATATATATATATATTTTATAACTTTATCAACTTTCATTGAACCAAACGATAATTTAGATGAATTTTTGTAAAATAGTAAACATTGTTGAGAGTTTGAGATCAAACAAAAAAAATATATGCAGTAACTGACAGATATCATAAATTAATTGAGAGTGAATTCATTAGTTGTACGATCGATATCTTAGGGATATTTGTTTAGTTTAAAGTTTAAATCGTAGAAGTTCTTTTTGATATTATAATAGAACTGTTTTATGTTGTTATCTTTTCGAACATACCTGTTTTGCGTTGTTTTTTATCTTATCAAATCTCTTATTTGTAAGCGATAAGAGATTGTCAATGTTGAGAAACCAGAGTCTGAATTGAATTATGTAATCAAATCTGAGTCAGAGTTTTGAGAGATTAAGTCGGATCGAGTCTAGTCAAATATGGTCTCTTCTATTCGATTCAATAGACTAGTATCAATTCCAGAACAAATACTGTTGATAAAGTAAAAGTCCAACATTGAAATAAATCTTGGGAGGGTATATTTCAAGATGGACAGAAAATTACTCTGACAGAAAAAAAATTCTTACTTCTATCTAAAATACTTGAGATTTGGATCGTTTTCTAGGAACATGTAAGAGGTGTCATATACGTTATTACAGTATTTAAGGCTCATATTTTGCCCAAAGATAGGAGATCACTAGACCAGCAAAACCTCCAAAGAATTCTTTTTTTCGATGTATTATAACCAAGATACAAGACTGTTAAGAAGCACGTCTTTTGCATCATTTTCATCAAAAACATTTTTTACAGCAAATATGCCGTATTAGTATTCTATAACAGTCTTGTATCTTAGTCTTAATACACTGGAAAAAAGAATCATTTAGAGGTTGTGCTAGTTTAGTGATCTCTCATCTTTGGGCAAAATATGAGCCTTACATATTGTAATAACGTATATGACACTTATTACATGTTCCTAGAAAACGATCCAAATCTCCAACATTTTAGATAGAAGTGACAGTTTTTTTCCGCCAAAGTTATTTTCTCTTCATCTTCCATTGAACCTGCACATAATATTCGATAAAAAGATCCTTTTCTAAAAAGTGGTTAGGTACTCCCATGAATTTACCCATAATTAATTTCTCCATTTTCATTTACTCATTCTTGATTGTTGTTTTAATACATAGCCACAAGTTCATCCTATTTAAATACGAATCAAATGAATAGTTTTCCAAGCTTTGACAAATAATATTATAAAAAGGAATAAAAAACATACATTTTATATTTTAATTGAACATTTTAATTATATGAGTTTTCTCTTACTTCGAATTAAAAATCGATAATCCATCTATTTTTGAGAGAAAAATATCGACGCTCGGAAAGAGTAACGTAACTATTAGAAGATAAAAAAGGGAATCAAAATATCCTTATTTTATCATGCTGACGAAAACAACGTTTCTAGCTTTCAGTAAAGAGTAATTCTATGTTTTGTATTCTCTTTTTAGCAGCAACTCTTCGATTTCTTTTATAATGAAAGACTTTTATTGCTTATAGCTTTTTCTTATTGTCAAAACAATGTAGGAATAAACATTTCTAAGTATTCGGAACATAAAAAGAGATTAACAGTCATATGAAAATCTCATCGCATAGTTGCTTCGTTCAAGATATTATTTTGTTTATAACTAGATAAAACAAAATTTCATGAAATAGCTTTGACCATTCATTTGAAACAATTTATATTCGAAGCCACAATTTGATATTAATTTCGTTTAGATTGCATGTGATTAATAATTCTTATTTTCTAATTTAAAAATATCATTTTCATGTCGCTGAACATTATTAATTTATTATCAATAGTGAAAAATTCTTTCGCGCAAAGGAAAACAGAGAAATCCAAGAAGTAGAAGTATTCTTTTTCCTCCTGTGTATGAAAAAGTATGGGGAAGTAGAAAGATATATAGTAAATTATGAAGGGCTACGAGGAAGTATGTGAAGTATAAAGAAGTTCGAAGAAGTATAAAAAAAACTGCAAAAAGTAGAGAAGTATGTGTCTCTCCCTTGGGATCCTATTTCAATGAAATGATTTTTCTCTGCTAATATGTACAGGACAAACAATCGTTTTCCCGTGTGAACTCCAAACGCGATCCTTCGTCGACAGTTATTGAAAGAAATTTTAAAAATATTAGTAATTTACAGCTTTTTTTGTGAAAGAAGCTTGATCGGTCAACTGCGCGAATGAATAGTTATTGAGTTTCATATCTGATAAACCGAATTCAATCCAACGTTTCTTTTAGCATTAGTGTTTTTCTCCAGCAATCAGCAGGTCATTCATGTATTCCCATAGTTATTACATCGATAAATGGTTTTTCTTATGTTGCACTAACTACTAACTTTTCATTGCAGTGAAAGGGTAGGCAGTGTACACAAGCAAGCAATAATCTCGTTATATCTGTGAACATAAACATAGAAAAAAGAGTCATTCCGCAGTAGCTATATTCAGTAAGATTATGTATATTGATGAAGTTCATATAAAAACTGAATGATCAGTTCGTGATAAAAATAAAATAAAAGTAAAATGACTCAAAATGAGACACGCGTATTATTTTACGACATTTCATCACTTAAAACTACTTTTTGTACAATAGTGGCGGATGTAAAATTTTGGTAAGCATGACGAGTTCTGATCATAATAAAAAAATCTATTTTGTTTTTCAATAGTATTTTTTACTTTTTTTTTTCTGAATTGAATTAAGATCGACATGAAATACAGAAAGTACTAATAGTTGTAAGAAGGAAAAGAGACGAAAAACGATACATTATTCATAATTTAAAGAATTCAAAATGGAACAAAAAACATAAGAGAGTACAATGGAAGATGCATAAAATCAATGAAGATGTGAGTACAGAACATAGAGAAACAAAAAAAAACAACAGATCAATCACTGCTGATTTAAAAAGAAAGTTTATATGTAATTTTTTTAAAAGCAAAGTGCATTTCAACTTGCACGAAAAAAAAAAGAAAAACAAAATTTTCACTGCATTGTCTTTGGAAAAAAAGATGAGACGAAAGACGACTTTGTAAATTGATTTTTATATATGTATTTACTAGTATTGGGCATTGTCTCCTACAATATGTACAATATTTACTGAAGATATTTGATATTTTAATTAAAAATTACCTCGTAGAACAAGTGTAACAGGTCCTGGATGCATTTGTCCAGTTTGTAAATAGATTGATGGAGATATAGGCGGTGTAGGATAATAGAAAACTTGCATAGGATAATAAGTTGTATTCGGATGAATTCCATTCATAGCAGTCGTTGTTATTGGACCAGTAACGGCCGAAGCAGATGAAGTTGCAGATTGACATGGTGTCAGAGAAGTATTAGATACAGTTGTTGTTTGAGATGGAGCAGCAAGAGAAATAGGCATTGTTTGTGAAAGCATTTGTGGTGGAATAGTAGAAATTGGTACGAGTGGCGCAGCTAAAAATAATATTGACATAATCAATAATTTGTAATCAAGCATGTTCTTTTTTATCAAGGAAAAAAATTTCAATAGTATTTACCTCGATGAGGAGAAAACATTGGTTGACGTGGAACATTAGGCGGAATTAAATTGGATGGAACAAGGCCAAGTAAAATATGATTCATATCTTCACCTGAGCATTGAATTACTTCAATATATCTTTTTCTACCATTAAAAAATAAATATTTATTATTTTTATGTGCTGCTGCATTGAATGAAGCTGCTTCCGAATTCATTTGTATAAATGCTTCACCTGATGGTTGCCCCTTTTGAAAACAACAAAAAAGTTTATTTTAATTAGGTTTTTTTTATGCATATATAAAAAAAAAAAAAACATACATGCGCATTATAAACCATATGAACACCTTGTGCTACCTAAAAGAAACAAAAAGATATGATCTGTATAAGGAAAATATTAAAACTTTCTTACAATATGCTGTGAATGAACTCCAAGAAATTCAAGTATTTGTTCAATACCACATTCTACAGGTAAATTTCGAACACGAATACAATCTTTTTTATTTGCACCGCTTAACATTTCCGGTGGTAACATCGGTAATGGTGCAAATGGAATATCTTTTAATGATGTTTGAAAATTTTTCGGATCTTGACTTCGACGAAATACCTATAGAAATAATAAATATTAATTAAAAAAAACAACAAAAAGAAATGATTCTATTAACCTGTTGTACTTCAGCTGTTGTACTACGAAATAGTTCAATATATCGTGTACCCATAATATCTTTATGCTTAAGTAAGGCTTGTGCTGCTTCATGTTCTGTTTTGAGCATGACAAAAGCATCACCTGTACTTCGTCCATCAGGATAATGAACAAATAAAACACCTTCTTCACCGTCAACAACATGTGTTGGTACGTCGCCACGAGTAAAAAATTCAATCTAAATATTATAGTAAAACAAAGAAAAAAAAACAGAAATAGAACAAATTTTTTAACAAGTAAGATTGGATCCAATTTTGGTGTGCTCACCCAATTCCAAAGAATAAACAAAAAAAAAATATTTCTTTTGTTTTTATCAGCTATTTTATCATATCTACATATAAATCGTGCAAAATAACATTTTTCTTTCAAAGAAGAAGACCCATTTTGTTTTCAATTTATACAAAAAATAAATAAATAAATAAATAAATAAATTCCGTCAAGATAATTTGTCTTGCTTTTTTTTTCGTCTATGAAATGATTTGTTATATAAACCTTGACCGATAGGAACAAAAATACCGGAAGTAAATGAAACAAACCCAATACTACAATATTAGTGAAACCCATATTGCAATATATTTCTTTTCTTCTTTTTCTTCAATTATTATTATATATTTTTCTAGAGTGAAAACAAACAATGTCACTTTTCCCCAAAGGCGTTTCTTATGGCGTTAAATAGTTTCTTATTTATTATTAAATTGCACTCACACATACACACGTATTTATATGAACATCAACCATCCAATTCCCAAATTGTTGTGTTATTGGTTAAAGCAACTTACATACACACAGGCATATGCATTACGCCCAAAAATGCTCCCGTTTCCCGTCTGCATAATAAGTCACACAAATCTGTTCCCTATCCCATAGAACAATTTTATCCCAGTTTTTTTTTTATCACTTTCTCATTCACAATGTCTGGTGCGTTTTCAGTTGCTATTCCCCTTCACACATACACACAAACATACGTGTTGTAAGAAAAATTCGATAGTATCATTTTACTACAACCTTCCCGCTGCCCGCAAGAGATTGAGAAAAAAAATGAGAAAGAACAATTGAATGATGGTAAGATTTCCCCGCGTGCATTTGTTTTACAATAGAACGCTTTTGTTGATTTATTTCTGCAATACCTGTGTTTTCTAATTCATGATTGACTCGATTTATCTGCAATAGAAATATACGTATTGTAAACTTTAGCATTCGCACGAATATTATATATATATAAAACATTCTAATTGTTAGAAAATTTAAATACAACCAATCATCATTCATTTTAAACAACATTTCATATACTGCACCACTCAAGCAGATATATAGTTTTCTATAAATCATAATACTTACCACATCTTTAGCAGTAGCATCAAATGGTAAACCACGCATACGAATAATAATTTGACCGTCGCGTTGTAAAAATGCTTGAGCTTCTGAATTGGATCCTATAGTGAAAAACAAACAGATCAACATAAATATTCAATTAAAAACAAAAAAAAAAAACAAATGCAAAACTATTGTTTTCATTAATATGCTCACCGTATTTCTGCATATAGTTGTTTTATTCTCTACTAGATAATTGACAAAAAGAATAGTATTTTATTTCGAGTTGAAATAGTCGACTAATGAAATTTTCTATCAATGAAATGATTCTTCAATTTCGTTTTCGCCTCCTTGTAAGAAGTGGAGATTTAAAGATACTGATAGTATCAAGACACAAAAAAAACGAAACGAAATGAAATGAAAATGAATGAGCGACAATAGGAGCAATACTTAATACTTTTAAGTTTATTCTCTCTTTCTGTCGTATAGGTGCGCCAAGACAATTTTAATTGGAAACAGATACATGACTAGCACTAATAGAAGGACTTAGACACAGTAAAAACAAAGACGAAATAAAATATTGTCAAAAGTTTAATATACGAACTTTTAAGGTAGTTTAAATAATGATAATACAAGTTGCCGTTGTAAGACACGCCTTTCGTATTACCCATTCGTGTGTATGTATATGAAAGATTTCACATTGAACAGTGGAGTATTTGTGTGTGTGTGTGTGAGTGTATATGTGAGCAAAATAAAACCTTAGAGAATTTGTTGCGCGTGTTTGTGTGTGACGTGATTTCTTTTCTTCTTTTATTTGGTGCACAACATTTAAGAGGGAGAAAGCAAAAGAGACACCTTACCGGCGTCAATTATTTACCACTACTTTCGATTAGAGAGAAAGAGAGAATGAATGATGAAGAAAGAACATCGGATCGAAGTAGTAAAGTATTTAACACGTCTGACAAGCATCAACATCAGTAGTAAGAACGATAAATTTTCGTTGTTGTCGTTCGTTGACAGACATATTAGTAGCTTGAACATGCATACATGCAGGCTGACAACTGCATTCTCTCTCTCTCTCCTCTTCTTCTTCTTCTTCTTCGTTTTCTTCTTCTCTTCTTTTCGACAAAGAAACAAGAACAACAAAAATGAGCCCACCTCATTGTTGGCCTCTCAATCTCTCTGTTGCTTGCCCTTCTATTTGTGATGATGATACGACAACGATGATGACGATAGCAAACGAACGTATATACATCGAAAAGATTTTTAATTATTTACCTTCGATGTAGATACGATGATCGACAACAGAATAAAAGAGATTAGGCTAGTCTTTATAGATCTTTCAATAGTTTTCTTTGACAAAAAAACTCATCAATGTCGCTGTCCGATATATTTTTATGTTTACCGAGACATCAGACATATAGACATAGACATGAACTGAACGCAATTTGATAATGATGTATTCTACAGTCGTTCATTTGTTATTTGTCTCATTGTCTTTCTTTTACTTTTCTCTGTCTGTTTCTTTTATTTTCTCTTTAGCCTAGTCGTTATTATTCGCAAGTGAATCTTTCAAATCCACAAGTAAATAGAGATGTTCGTCCACTTTCTCTTTCTCTTGCTCTCGTTTTCTTTCTTATTTGCATAACCTACCAAGATCGAAATGTTGTCATTCGCTAATGATCAACGACCTTTTGTCTAACAGAGCAAATTCGACAGCCCGGAAGCTCGAAGTACAAAAGAGAGAGAGAGAGAGAGTGAATGAGTGAGAGCGCTGGCCATCAAATAAAGAATGAATTCTTCACTTTTTGCATGTATGCAGCAAAGTGACATATCAGATGATCAGTAGTTTAAGCCAACAACAACAAATAAATAATATTTGCTTTCACAAGAGGAAGCTCTTTTTTCTTTTAGTCGTTTTATTCTTTCTTTATTATATACATATATGTGTGTGTGTGTGTGTGTGTGTGTGTGCATGTGTGAAGTGCTTGACTGACAGAATTTCAAAATGGTAGTGATACCCGAGAAATGAATTTCACATACTTTTGTAAAAAAAAAAAAAAAAAAGATGGAGTCGAATATTTTGAAAGTGATTAAATATATGCATTAAGAACGAAAAAATCTAATGAGTGTTTACCTCCAGCAACATTGAGAAAGTCGCGTCCTGTAGCTTTATATACTTCAATATAACGTTGTCCGATGTGATGTTTATGTCGACGAAGAGCTAATTCTCGATGTTCAGTTGATACAAAACGAACTAATGCTTCACCATTACGACGACCTTGACTACTAAGACATAAGGCAACACCACCCCTATAATAATAAAAATTGAAATTTCTTTTTTTTATTCTCCCATGAATAAGACTTGAATGTAATCTTATTTATTGAATAAGAAAATTATTCTTGGGGTAATCGAATTAAAGAATTATGTTATTAAAAAATGACTAAAGACAAACAGTTCAGTGTACTATTGTGATAAAATCCATATTTGATATTTCAAAAAATAATCACATATTTTAGGTGATTCAATTTGCATTTAATCGCAAAGATTAATAAAAAAAAATATGAATAAAATGTGAAAAGTGTTTCTTCTCGTTCCCAAATCTAATTAAACTTATCATATAGACAACATTTTACAGTGTCAAACGAAGAGTTATTCAAACAAAAAGAAAAGTTCATAACTCAATTAGATCTTAAATAATTAAATAACACTTTACTACTTTGTAACTAGAAAAAAATTTGTGAGAAGAAAATATTTCATACACGTTTGTATATTTTCTATCGGCTGATATAGTGAATGAAATTTTATATGCTTCATACCAAATCTACGATTTAAAAATAAAATTCCATTTTATATATATCGTCTTTTGAAATAGTCAATTTTTAAAGATAAAATATAATATTTACTAATTTTTGAACATAATAAGGACATACAGAAAATTTTCGATAATTTAAAGTTTTGTATCGAATCTTATATGTGTTTCATATCACTAATCTATATGTAAAATACGATGGATTTATTTTTATTCAAACAACGAACAAAATCATCTTCATTGAATATGTATTTTTTTATTGTATATTTAATCGATTAGTATCTTTATGTTAATCAAGGAAATTATTCTGAGCATTTACTTTTTTTTAAAATCCTTTTCTAATTCTGTTAGTACGAATAGAATAAAACGATTATTTTCGTTAACAGAAACAATTTAGTTGAACAAGCTGTCAATAAAAAGAAGTATTTTTTTTTTCAAGTGTCGACTATTAAACTAACATTATATTGAATAAATCATCAAGTATATCTATAATACGAAAGTATTGAAATATTAATTAATCGATAGTTTTCAAAAAATGATTTATTAGCTCATAATATGTAATTATCACTTAACAATCAATATTACTCACTTCTCTATATCAAGACCTCGAAAAAATTTGGCTACATCCTGATCAGTGCATTGCCATGGTAAACCACGTGCTCGAACTACTGTACTTTCTTCAATATTGTCTTCTAATGAACTAAATTAAAACAAATATAAATATAAATATAAAATAATTATTATATAACATTCTGTTTGATTTTGATTTTTTTTCTTTTGTATGTTTGCAATATCGAAAAGTGAACAGACATTGATGATATATGTTTAACAGATATGGGATCGGTTCGTGGATTTTTTGGAACCAAACTGAACTGATACCACAACTGATACTTAACGTGTAGTATCTAACGAGAGAACTTCATCAACTGATACCTGTTGTTTGAACTCGTATTTTGTTCTTAATTAGGACTTTTAGTATTGATAAAACTCTAAAAGAAATTCTTTCCATTAGGTCTTTGTTCTCGAGTTATGGTCATTGTACTGAATTTTCAGTCTATTGCGGAGTATTACGAACAAAATCAAATCAAGGAATTTCAATCTGTAATTTCGTATAAAAATAGATCTCATAGCGATTATAATATCCTGCAAATATCAGCTAAAATGATTGGTTTCATCTCAAGATGTGGAATACTAAACAAATGAAATTATCTTGAATCTTTTGTAACACAAGACCTTTTTTGCACACTTTTTATCTCGGTAATGGAGCATCAATTCTGGTTGAAATTTTCAGAATATTATAAGGCCTATGAGATCTTTTTTTGGGCAAAATTTCAGATTGAAATTTCTCGATTTGATTTTACTCGTAATACTCCATAATAGACTGCAAATTCAGTAAATTAATCATAATTCGAGAAGAAAAGCCCAATAGAAAGAATTCTATTAGAATTTCTATCTACACTAAAAACCCTAATTATGAACAACATATGAACTCATACAGAAGGCATCAGTTGATGAGATTCCCTAGTAAGCTATTATTCAAAATGAATTACATTTAATGTTCCTTAATAGTAGGAAAGTACATTATGGAAAAACCATTACAACAAAATTATCAAATTTTTTTTTTGATTGAAATTTTTTAATAGAACTAGCAAAAATAGTAGTCATTAACTCAATAAGAGATAGATTATAATAAAAAAAAAAAACAAAGAAATTGAAAATAATTTTCGAATATGTTTTCCAGTATAATATTTTTTTACTATTGCAGAAAATTGAATACAATTTCTTGAAGATAATAATTTGTATGTTATTCTTTAAATATACATATATATCTTCAATATCTATCTGTCTTTTGATATGACAAAAATCAAAAAGGAGATTAAAATTTTTGAAACACTCTGTATCAAAATCTGAAATGTATATTTTACCATATGCCTTGTTGTAAGTTAACCATTATCTGTTCAGGTTTCTCAAAACGATAACCTATGAATAATTAAAAATATTAAATTATAAAATATATTTTCTTCGACAAAACTTACCATCATTCAACATTTGATAAACAATTAACTCCATATGTCTAACATGTCGCATACAATAGTCAATTTCATCTATTGGAGCAATTGACAGATCTTAATGAAAAAAAAATTGCGGTATTAGAAATAAATCAATATCATATTTCATAATGTGTTTAATATAAGCTTTGACATTGTTGAAAATCAATCATCAAGGTCAATACTCTTTTTTTTTTCTCACAAATGATTATAAAAAAAAATGATTAGGAAATTTACTTTCAAGCATAGTATTTGTATTATAACATTCATTCGTTTTATACATATATTGAAATTCATGTCTTAAATCAAAATACGACCAATAATAACTCGGTAATGGTATTGTTGATTTTTTAACACTTTCTGTATGAAGACATTGACGTAAAGAAAGACAATTCTCACAAACAAATGTTAAATTAACACCAAAATCTGGATGTAAATAACGATCACGCAAGAATTTATCAAACTAAGATAGAAAATTTTAATAGTCAAAATAAATTGATATTATTTCGCAAAAAAATTTACTTTTTTCAATGCTTCATTAAGATCAAGGTCGGATAAAAATAATAATGTTTCATCAATTCCACTTGTTTGCTTATATTCATCATTCAAAGTTTCTATAAATGATGGTCGTATATATTGACGATATAAAGTCACCATCTATTTAACAAAATCATCATATCAAATTTCAATAGTTTTGTCAAAAATAATACTTTAGAATACATACCTTTCTTTCATCTGTATCAATAATAAGATAAATCATTTCTATAATCTCCTGTTCATCAGAACCCATATCTTCGTCCAATAGTCCAGCCGTAATAAGGGAAAATAAGCATAAATATTGTTTATTATTATCAGTATTTGTTTCAACATTCGCTATCGGTACCACGACTGTTGTCAACGGCGATAAAGACGATGAAGACGTCATTGCAGACAACAACGTGGTCGGCGAATGCGTACGAACCCGTTTACAATTCAGGTTTAATGGCGTCCTAATAGTCAGTTTCGAAGGCGAAGAAGAAATAAAAGATATGTCGATGAAAGGAATGGGGACAATATTATTGAAAAATTGAATAAAAAAGGAAAGTCAAGAGAATAACAAATGGTATTAATGGGCACAGAAATCAGGAAAAAAAATCAATTGGAAAGGAAGACTAATATACACACAACTGTGACACAAGACAAAAAAAATATATATAAATCGATGAATACGAAATATTAATGGTGATCTGCTTTTTTTATTTTCTTTTTTTTCTATTGCTTTGTTATATTTCACATTTGAATCCTAAAACGACAATCCAGTTTGATTGATAGTTAAAAAAAATACTTTTCTTCCTTTTGATTTCTTTCTCTCATGAAAAAAAGAACATCTGTTACCTTTGGGTCATCTCTAGTGTTCAAGTCTTTTTTTAACTCTTTCACTGTCTTATAGTGCTTTTTTGCGCAATCAACCGAGCTTCAATCGCACTCTCTCGTACGGTTCGATTTCTTTTTTTTTTTGCTCTTAATTTCATCTTATGATGTCCTCTATTGTTCAGAGTGGGTCTATGCAGCAGTATGCGACAGCTGTTAGTGCTAGGAATTTATTCACATTAGCGACAGACGCGAACATGCACAAGCACTCCCTTCATTGAAATTGATAAACTATCATTCAAAAAAAAAGGAAGGAGACTGATATAAAATCAAACATGCACATATTTCATTGCTAAACAAAAATTCAATTTTTTACTGACCTGTTCATTCTACGTATCATTGTAGTGATTCATAACTTAAAAGTAAAATCCACCTGTAGTCAAACGGCAATAGTTGATCATCACTCTATTGAAGAAGAAAAGAAAAAATTGTCTATGAAAGGAAGATGCACTACAACGTCGGTAACAAACGTTTCGCTTGATTGATTTTTTGTCTCTTTCTCGTATAGACGTAGAAGAGAAAACGTGCATGTACAAAGTCACGCTATAGCCTTTCGTCAGTAACGTTGTATTATTGAATGACCGATATAATGGAGATCAACTTGTCATAGATGAAATCGAATAGAAAAAAGGAAGTAAAAATGATATCGAAAAAATTTTTTGTTGATAATTTTCTTTGTATGTTGAAAGTAGTTTTGAATTATTGACTAAACATGTACGAAACATGCTTGAAAATATGTGTTTGGTATGTCCTAAATAAAAATGACAGAAACACGTCATTTATTATTATTCGAACCTGCTATTATTCATTGTATCCATTTTAGTATATTAAGTTTTTTTTAATACTTTCGAAGTATAACATAAGAGAATTAATAAAATTTATTAATAATACTCGCAAATATTTTTTGTTCAGTTCAGATGTTGAACAACAATTATATAAAACATATCTTTTTGTTGATTTATTCTCATGATTAGATGAAATAATTGTTTTTTTTTGTGGATTACTAGTCTTCTGAGAATTTTATTATTCTTTTCTTCGGCTTCACATACTAAATGAATATTTCTAAAAAAGAACTATTTTATACTATACTCAATTTTGAAATATTGCAAAAGATTTTCATTTATTTTCTGTATTTCAACATACTAAAAAAAAACAGTTCATCCTGTTGAACAATGATGCTGATGAAAACTCTTTTTTGTTAATTTTAATCAAATTTTCATTCCATACGGTTACTGAACGATAAAGAAAATCTGAAATTTTGTGATGAATTCACATCGATGAGAAAGATAAATACATTTAATACTAAGTTTTTCAATGTTAGGTTTTGCTTATTTCAAAATCGTCACTATGTAAATGTAAACTGTTAAGTCTTCTCGCATATATTATTGTTAAGGCCCCTCCCCACTCAAAAATCGATTTCGGCTCCGGTACATGCAAATCGCATGAAATTTTCAGGATATGTTAGGGTTATAGTGGAGAAGCTATGGTAAAAATTTCAGCCGTATATCATGACGTTTAAGGGAGATATTCACCAAACAAGGNTATTGAAGCATTTTTCATGGGTTTTGAATGATTCTCTTATATCATGGCTATAGTTATAGTGGTAGTCGGGAAAATTTATTCTATTTCTCCTCTCATATAGTACAGTTAAAAACACGACTTATCAGCTTTCGAATCGAAACTTTTTTTTCGCCCGTTTTTTTTGTCAAAATGGTACAATAAAGTTGCAATTCACTCATATACACCTGAATAATTATTCTTTGACGGGCATTGTCTAAGTAGTCACCAATCAATGAAGAGTGTATGAACAATGGATGTGTCATCGAAATATCACTTGTGAACAATAAAAAGGAGGCAGCAGAGATGGATAATTTCACTTTTAATTGAAACAGAGTATAAGATGTGGATTACAGATGTACAGGACTAAAAATAAAAGTGTACCGAAACCGAAACCGGGACTACGAGAAAAAATTGTTCAAAGTGGAACCAAAATTTGTGGATAAGTTTTTTATGATAGTTAGCGAATCAAGTTATAAATCATATGAATCAAAGCAAAACTCAGAAGAGATCACGAAAAAAAGTGACATTCGTCGACTTAATAAATCAAAAAAACGAGTGTTTAAGAACTTTTTTTTTGATTCAATGTGAAGAAATTCCGACAAATTTCTCTCTAGGTCAGGGCCAAGACCACTGAAAAAAAATTACTGGGACCGGAACTAAAAAAAAAGCTTTTTTCTCGTACATGTCTAGTCTTGATATCAAGTATGTCTAATTTTTGAGAATATTTTTACATAGTTTCATATAACTTCATAGAGTGGTTGCTAGCATCTGTGTTTCTTTGTTTATTCATTCATGTTTTATTGAATTGTTGCCATTATCGAATTTCATTCACGTACAGTTTATTATGAATATTATCATCAATTCCGAATGATATGCTAGTTTTGAGATTTATTCATCATTCATTCTTTGAGTAGTAACGTACTTGATAAAGTACGATTTTTTAGAGTTAGTTTTTCAGAAAATTATCTAGCCTAGTAGGTAACAGATCTCATTACAGTCGTAGTTTTCAAAACAAATCTATACTTGCAAGTGTCGAATATATCATAGCGAATATCACATCTTGGTATCTTTCTGTGTTCGCGATTTATTCGAAAGTCGAGAAGACGGGAAAAGGTATGGTGGATTCAGAATGTTAGTACTCAAAGGGTTAAACGAGTATTTATGGAATGAAACAAAATCTGGTATTATGAATGAAAAATAATAGTTTGAGCAAATAAATGCTTCTTCTAATGTTTTCGAAATAGACAAGAGAAGCTTACTTACATTTATGGTTCTCGAAATTTCTTAATAATACTAATTAATTTAGGGGTCTTTTGAGGAAGAAATTAAAATATTTGTTCTAGAACAAAAACGGAATAGTGAAAGTTCGTTTTTCATGAGTTTATTTTAGGAAATATTATGTTTTGAATTGTTGCAAAGTGATAAATTGATTTTGTTTTGTAAAAAAGGCGATTTATGTTCGACAAGAGTTTCGCAATTAGGAAAAAACACTTTTCTTTGGTAACGAATGTTAATTATAATTCAAATAAACGTCATCCTATTAATTTTCTGTTGTTATTTTTCACGAGCTAGGCAAAACAAAAGTTGGTATGATAATTTATAAGCTGTGTACACTACATACATAATTTGTGAAAAAGATAAAATTGAAGATGTGAGATCAAACGAAAACTATATATTCTTTTAAGAAAGACTGTTTGTATGATACTTATGTATCATAGTTAGATTAATGCTAAGAAATCGACCATAAGTGTAATTATCTTGACAATAATCATAATATTTTAGGCAAAATAATATTAACTCAGTCGATCTTTGATCGACATCATCTATTCATAAAATATTTTCTGAGACAAAAAAAACTTCAAATAAAAAACATGAAGGAAATAAGAAAAACTACATACATTTCTTTTTTTTCTCATATGCGTATCATATATCATGATTATGGTTAAAATATTTGTCTTTTGTTATTGATCATAATATTTTAAATTTGATTATTAATAAATAGTTACGATAAGCCAACTAAAAATTAAGTATGAGTATTCCTTTCTACTAGTGGCGTATCTAGGAGGAGACTAAAGTGGGCGTTATCTTCTCACTCGCGAAAAGTTAAACTCTATGATTACTTTGAAATTTTATTGCGTTTCTTGACTATTTAGCAATCCTGAAAATTCAGTTAGAGAATGATACCATAGGATCAAGTTGTGACACATCAATGCTCAAGCAATATTCTTCATAAACCAAAAATTTTTAGTTTTTAAATGGATCGAACTCTAAGTAGTGCCATATCTAGGAATGGACTATGGTGAGCTCTTCCCTTCCACCGAAACTTTATGTCTTGCTACAAGAAAAAATGAAAAGTCAATAGATATCTTGAAATTTTTATCGTTTTCTTACGTACTCAATAGCTCTGGGAATTCAGTTAGAGCGTAACACAGCGGACTTCAACAGCAGAGACCTCAATTTTTCATGATACTTCAAAAGACTTTTACAGATTTCGAGATTACATGAGCATTCAATACACCTAGAAATTCCATGAAATTTCTAGGTGTGGACCATTTAATTTAAAGTAAAATCAAGTTAAATGTATTATTTAACACTTAATTTACTTGAAATTATGTAATAAAGTGGTAGTTGTAAGGCGAATGCCATTTTATTTAGATTTTCTCCCAAGGAGAAGGGTATTTTTTGAAAATAACGATTTTTTAAAAAGTTCCACCAAAGGTTTTGGGGTAGAGGAATATGAATCTCTAATCGGTTTAAAACAATTTTGAGGCATTGATTAAAGATTCAGACTCCTCAACCTCGCAAGCCTTCAGCCAAATCAAAGAATGTTATTTTCGTTAAAAACTCTTCACCTGGCAGAAAAATCAAATTCATAAATTTTAAGAAATCGATTACAGATCCGGATTTCTTGATCTCGGAAACCTTTAATCAAACATTATAAGAAATCTTGAATTTCCTTTAACAACTTTTTTCTGACGAAAGAATCAAACCCACGAATATCAATACTACTAGAATAAAGAGAAATATTGCAGTTTAATCCAAAACCTTCTACAATAGAAATTTTTGGCTGTGTATTTCATTTTGTACGGTCATCCTCAACTATATAACATATCACTTGAGACCTTTACTTTATTTTAAATTTATTTTGAAGGACAAACAACAATTTTTAGAGATGAAACAGCAAAATACACCATGAACTGATTCATAAACATAAACCCAAATAACATATATCGATGGAGATAAACGTAAAATAAGATATCACTAGAATGTTCTAATATGTATGTAATATATTCAAGTATACAATTCTACATAATCACAACTAGTAAATATCAATGAAGAAGTTTGAGCAATAATACAATAGTAACAAGAATCTTGTAGTTTAATACAATCGTTTACAATAGGAATTTTTGACGCTATTGCAGAATTATATACTTGAATATATTACAAAAATATTAAAATAGTCTAGTGATATCTTATTTTACGTTTATCTCCATCGATATATGTTATTTAGGTTTATGTTTATGAATTAGTTTATGTTGTATTTTTCTCTTTCGTTTCTAACAATTGTTGTTTGTCTTTCAAGATAAATTTAAAATAAACTAAAGGTCTCAAGTGATATGTTATACAGATGATGATGACCGCACAAAATAAAATACACGACCGACAATTTCTATTGTAGAAGGTTTTAGATTAAACTGCAATATTTCTTTTTACTATATTATTATTGGTATTATGGTGCAAGCTTCTTTATTAATATGAACCCACGACTTTGCCCATTACCTGTTTCTTGATAACGTCACGGGAATCACTTGGGATCAATGGAATCATGGTGTCAACTTTCTCCCTTTGATGGAAGTCGGGAGAACTGAGTGTTTTGTATATTTTGCTTCTGCTTGGTATGCCTGTCATTAGGAGCACTGTTTAGAAGTCTTCATAAGGCTTCAGGAGATTTCAGCACTTTATGCGATCTTACTATCGAAGTCTCTGCCATATACCACTTGATTCTATGCCTTCCCATTGATGCTATGATGATTCGAACATTATCCACTTCAACAGAAAGAACATGTAGCAAAATGAAACTTATTAAAACGGCTGCATGTACGCTTTGTTCGATATAGATTGAGCGATCAGTCTCCCTTGTAGATCTACAACAGTTTCATATCAGTTCTGATCTTGACAACTGTCCCAACAGCTCTTTTTATAAGAACTGATCCGTCTCAATAGTTCTTTGTTTTGAATTGATCTATGTAACAGCCTTTTTTGAATGCATGGATGCCACCAGACATCTCATTTTCATTCGCCCATTAGATTTATAATTGTCTCATTCTGGGTCATGCTTGTGAACTGCATGAATGTGCTGGAATGAAGTTAACGGAAACTTCACGCTAGAATAGAAGGATTCGATCCTCAAAAGAAGTATTAGTCACTGGACTCAGTTCTAAAAAGAGAACTGTTCCTGTGACACAGTTTCCGAAAAAGAACTGCATCACATGAACAGTTCTAGTTCGAGAACTGCTCGCTGAGCCCAGTTCTCGAATTGAACTGAAAGCTATCGCATGTCTACTTCGATGGCTATTCAGAGAGACATTATTGTTGATTATGAAAAGTTCATTGGTGCCTTCTCCATTCAACATAAGAACAGTCCAATACTGTTGAAATAAATATTATTTGTCTTTTTTTGGTAATGCTATTATTTCATTTAATAAAAGAACAGATAAGTTGCTTTATATCACTCTTTCGGAACTAGAAAATTTAGAAACTGGATTTATCTTTAAAAAAAGTTAAATTATTATGAAATGATTTTTCAAAGATGGTGGGGCATTGCCCTCCCACCCACGATTTTCTGATTACGCCACTACTTTCTAGTTTATTCCGTCTAAATATTATTGAGGAAATAGGATTAATGAGTGACGAAATGCAGTAGCATTCATGTATACCCACTAGATCTTGAATATCTAGAATAAATAAAATTAATTCATATCAACAAATAACGAAAGAATGAAGTCCGATGTCACTCCAATATGCACATCCGTCTTTTTTTAATCATTTTCTCAATCATTAAATGGAAAACAATATATCTAACGTATAAACCACACTAAAACATTAGATTCTTTCTTTGAAACATTCATGTGAGTTGGATCATACATGTTTCACTTATTGCAATAAACGGTAAAAAACACTGCATGTCAAAATATGTCTTATAGTTTCTTTTCTTTTTTTAAAGTAATTCAGATAAATAAACATTTTCTGTAATCAGTTTAAAAAATGACTGACAAGTCTGGATAGAATTAGAAAAATCTATGAGAATTGGATAAGTAAATTACTTTGACATATATTAGGTTGAAGAATATTAGAATTTCTTTGTTGTCATTTATGCACAGCTAATATAAGCTGATTGTTTGAAATCTCGATGATACACATTTAATTTGACGTCAAATTTTTATTTTTCAAAGAGATGCTCGCAAGCTACTAATGTGCTTTATTATAAAATCAATAATATTACAATACACATTGACATTAGTAGAAAAGAATACAGAACAAAAAAAAAACCTTGTTTTATCAAACAACAAATATACACGCACAAACACATCATGTTTTCTTATTCAACAATGATATGGAAAATGTGAATTCAATAGACAACAACAACGAATAGTGAGCAAAAGAGAATAACATCTCATATATTAAAACTTGATATTTTCAACAAAATCAAAATAAGTTCTATTCAAGCTAACTTATAAATTGTGGATCATTTAAGGAGATCAATTGATCAGAGTTTGAGTTTTGATGGGTTCACGAAACATTTAACTTGATGAGATTCTTCATCTTTTAAAAGCGCATTAGATTTTCAATCAAAACATTTTCCTTCAGCTTATACGACACAAATAAGAGTTGTTGTTGTAAAGATTGCCGACTAGCTGAATGAATAAATGATTGATGAGAAGAAGAAGATGATGATGAAGAATTTTTTAGAGATTCAATACAAAGACTATTAATAAGATAAAATGCTTTAGATGAATCTGTTTGAGTTTGATTTAAATATCTTTGATCATCGCCATCATCATCAGATAAAATCACTATGAATATGTTCTTGTTGTTGGTTGATATTTTTATTATTGAAAAGTTGATTTTTGAAAGACAATGGTATACGAATATTTTCTTTATTAAGAGTTTCAATCGTTATTATGGTTGATGATGTTGATATGGAATGATAATCTTGTGATGAACCATTTGCTTTATCTATTGTGTCAGTTAATGACAAGGATATCTGACTATCGTATGGTAATAAACGATCATCATTTGATTGTTTATGAAAATATTCTGATGACATTGTTGCTGAACGATGATATATGATGATGATGACGATATAAGTGTATTTGTGCATTATTCTGTGTTGATGAATAAAATAATTTAATAGTTGATAATTCATTTAATGTTTGACAAGTATTAAATCAATTTATTCAAATAAATCGGCAAGAGTTGAATAAAATATTGAACATTTTCGATCTAAAAAAAAGATTTTTCATGAATATTTTGAGTAATCGTACTACTGTTGTGCACTGTATTTTCGCGTCTAGGAAAGATTTGTTTATTTTTCATTTTTTTTTCTTTCTCTGTCATCTTCACCCTCCAGTTCTGATATAGCCTGGATCAATTGTTAACTTAGCTCGATAAAGAAGAAAAATAGATAGATTGCCCTCGTTTTAATTATAGACTTCATAGCTATATTACTTCGTTCTATTTCATTGGGGACCATTGAAGTGTTACGTCATTAACTTTTCGACCATTGTGAACCCATTCCTCCTCCCTAAAATAATCAAGTGTCAACTTTTGCGAATCTTCTCTCCCCTTGATGACGTAATCATTACAATTTTTGCTTAGTAGAAAGGAGTGTGGGATGTAGGTGTGTGAATATTGGTGTGGGCTGAAGCGTAGGTATTAATTTTTTCTTCATTCATATCCATACTCACTTCTACATTCTTTTCTGTATTCATCACTTGGATGTATGTATGAAGTACAAGATGGAACGAACGAGACACTTGATTAATTAATAAACAATGTTTATTTATTTGATCAGTTAACCAATGACATAACATGGTAATTCATTGTGCTGGAATGAAAAAAGTTACAAAGATAACGTCATATTTGAGCGACTTCTACCTTACTTTGAGTAATCAATCGTCATTATTGTCTGCTCCTCTACCCTCTAAACTTGATAACGTAATACTTGAAATGATCGTTTTACGATCACTCCATCCTTTATTTCTGTTCGAGATAGCTGTTTGGTGTTTGTTAGTGGTTTTAACTTGAAGGCTGATACTATTGACCAAATATATCGATTTTTTATTTCAACGTGTTGTACTATCAAATATGTATAGCAACTTCGATTTTGCCGAAGATAAAAAAAAAACTTAATAAGGAAATAGGTAAATCACATTAAATGCTTTGATGTATTGAATCTTACTTTTTTTTTAAACTAATCAGCTGAAGACAAAAAAAAAATTAAAGATGGAAGTATACCACTTGAACATCTTCAGTTTGTAAAGGACGATAAAGAAATACGGGTAAGTACAAAGGATTTTTATACAAGTATTTAATAGCTTCGTACATTTTAGAAAGAATTATCATTAGACAATGTGCAAGATGAAGATGAAGAGCTTGCAGATCTTGAAGAACAAGAAATTCATAGCGATGAAGGACAAGCAATACAAAAAGACGAAAAATCACAAGTACATTTTGGTAAATCACTTTTTTCTGCTCGTCAAACACATATTAGTGATCCAGCTAGTCGACCTTCATTTTATGAACGTCAATTTACTGATATCAAAGGTCAACCGTTAGATATGAATGAATTACGTGGCAAAGTTATTTTACTTGTTAATACAGCTAGTGAATGTGGATATACACCTCAATTACATACATTACAAGAACTACATGATAAATATAAAGATAAAGGCTTTACTGTACTGGTATGAATTTCTTTTTTTCTTCAACTTGTATTTAAATTTCTTCTAAATTGATTTGAAAACTTGAATAAAATCAAGCACGATTTAAAAAAAAACTTTTTTGTTTTTTCCTAGGGTGCACCCTGTAATAATTTTGGTAAACAAGAACCAGGTGATGAACCACAAGTGTGTTCATTATATGAAAGTAAATTCAAAACGACATTTCCTTTAACAACCAAACAAGATAAAGATAAACCAAGTGAAGTATTTCAATGGATTATTGATGCTGGTGGAAACGATGTATTACCTAAATGGAATTTTCATAAATATCTTATTGATCGACAAGGTCATCTTGTTGCTGCTTGGAATAGTCGAGTTAAGCCATTAGATGAAGAAATTACAAAAGGAATTGAATCAATTATCTAACTATCCTTTAAAATTTCATTTCTCTTTTTTTTTTTCTATTAACATGTTCTTGAAAAAGAAAATAAAAATTCAGTCAAAGATTTATTACATTTATTTAGTTGACATGTCTGTGGAACGATATTTCATTACATCTTTTTTCTTTGGTAGTTTATGTGTTGTTTTTCTTTTCAATAATAATTTTTGAAGTTCACATTTAAATAAAACAACATCAGTCAAAGTTATATCACGTCCATTGACAATATATTGTATATTTGTGTCATTCTCTAACATTCTATTTAGTTCAAGTAAAGCTTTGCCATGATAATGAGCTAATGGTTCACACCATTTTTCAAGATTGTTTGTACGACACCAATCTTGAATATCTTCGGATGTCCATCTAGCTATTGGTTTATTTTTCGAATTTTTTATTTCATTTAATTGATCATTTTTTTGTTGTTGCTGACATTAGTACTTGTGATTCATTTAAATCATTTTTTAAGTTCATTGGTGATTTTGGTCGTTCATGACTTTCACTACGTAGATTTTTAATTAAACGCTGTAATTCATCATTTTTATAAATTTTATAAAAATGACTATGACCAATATTAAATACAACCCAATCAAAGGCATCTCTTTTAAAATCTTCTTGAACAAAAACAGGATAAATTTTAATTTTTTTGGTAATAGCAAATTGCCATTCGCGTCGACAAAAATCTGATGTACAATACGCATCACTAAGAAGAACAAAAACAGCTTTTGATTGACGAATAGCACTTGTTATTGTATCAACCATGTCATCTTTCATATAACTTCTATCAACCCAAACGTCTGTGAAAAGATTGGCTTGTTTTAATGCTTGAACAAATTTATCACATTGAGCTCTATCACGATGACAATAGGAAATAAATGCTTGTCGAGTATTAATATCAATTGGTACTTGAAAAGAAAACAAACAAAGAAAAAAACATAATCGTTTTTAAAAAGATTATATTATTTACCTGGAGACTCGTGTTGTTGTTCTTCTGGTGCAAGATTTTGACGAATTTGATCGATTATTTTTTTCATTCTTGGATCACTAGCAAATAAAGCATTAGCTTTTGTTGTTAAAAATTCGTTTAATTCGAAATTATTTGTCAAGTTTTGTTTCATTTCTGGTGATGAAGAACATTTACGAAGAATTTTAAGTGCATTTAAATGACGTTGTTCTACATAAGTAATTATTTTCGGTATATATTGAATCATTTGTTTTTTAACAAAATCTTGAACAAGAAATCGAAGTAAATAACGAAGAAGTAGTTCAAATGATATCCCTTTATATTGACTATTTCCTTGAGCAACTGCTCGATCAATAAAATCAAATATTAATTTTACTATATCTTGAGCCATATTCGGTTTTTTCTCTTGTAAAACTCCAAAATCTTGAAAATCCATTATACTTGATAATGTTGACATAGCCATTAAACGAACACGATCATATTTTGCATCAATATAAGGAATTATTATTTGAGATGTATTCAATTGTCGATCTTTATCACGAGTTATTTTTTTAGATGTATTTAAGTTTTTATCTACGACTGGAGTTAATTTTCCGTCTTTCACTATACTCGAACGTAATAGGCGAAGAATTTGATTTGGTTCATCCAATGATGAAGATGTATTATTATTTTCATCATCATCATTCAGATCTATCGATGTAGCATACCATTTGTTAAGAAATATAAGTACTACATCAACTAATGAAGTAGAGTCATTTGTATCAGATCGTATTGCTTTGTTTCGAAGAGTATTTGATCCTAATAATCGAACAATTATTAAGGTTCAGAGTTTTATTTTTTCTCAAAGAATTTTTATGTAAAAGCTTGTCAATGCAGTCTGTTTGGGACTAATATGTGAAAATCACAGGTCTGTCGTAGCCTTGTTTTATTAATACAAAATCCATCAAGTGAAAAATCTCCAACAGAATAAGAGTTGCTTTCCAAGGAGATCGGTCATCATAGAAATGATCTGTCTTATTTGTTTCTGAATTTTGATCAGAAATTCTTCTCTGCTTTTTCACTGACGCTCTATTATTTTATTTGGCTTGTTGTAATCACTCGTTATTTATTTCTTTTATTTTATTTCCCTTCTCTTGTATTACTTTTATTATTATTCTAGCAATTGATGGAACTAACAAATAAACCTGTTATGCATAATCATTATACCTACTAGAGATTGACAAGTCAGAGGTTTTTAAGATCCAAGTCAAGTCATTTAAAAAATTCTTAAGTCAAAAAATGACTTGACTTACCCATCTCTTATATCTACACTAAGTCACAATGCGCTATGATGTGTCTTGATTAACTTAGAAGCATTGATATAGATTACTGTTGAAAGTTAGAACTTGATCAGTTCGTTCTTTTTGCGTTGGTGAAATGATGATTATGGCAATTCAATAAATCACTAGTCATCATACTTGATATCTACTATGTAACCGTTTATCTACCAAAAATAGAAACTGCGTTATTTAGAACATTCAAAACCGTATTCGAGTCACTTAAATTTTAGAACAGACTTTGAAACGTTCTAGAATAGCCTAACGAGGACAGTTCCTCGAGTTGTTAATCGGTTTTTCGTAGAAACATACATGACTGGATGCAGATCATTGCGCTGATTCTGACCACCAGGGTCCCAGTGACTCTTAAACTTTTCTACAATATATATTATAATTACCAATCCTCCTTTGCCAAGGCTATTTTTCATCAAATTCAGTTTCTAATCAGCCTAGTACATATCACTAGACAAATCTAAGTATCTATGTGAATATTTTGTCTAGCAATATATAGTAGACTGATAAAAAATTGAATTTGATGAAAATATCCAGGTCAGAGGGTTGATAGTTACGATATACTATCTAGAAAGACTTCAGGGCTGCTAGGATCCTGGTGGTCGGAATCAGCACAATGGCCTGAATACAGTCATGTAAGCTTCTACAAAAAGTCATGTACTACTTGGGAACCTTTCCTGGTAAGTGCATTATTTTTACTATTCCCTTGAACTTCTTTTTCAAATTCAATTCGACGATATTTTTCTTAATATAAATATAACATTGCTGAACGTTGAGGAAGAGAAATATCCTAAGAAGAAATTTTTTTTTTGTATTAAAATGATTCGTAGTGTAACAAGATTTTATCATGAAGATCATATTCACCAGTTCTCGAGACTAAATGAAAGCAATTAACTTTGAACTGGGGACAATGTAAACAAAGATCTGTAGAACTCTCTCGCTTTTTATGGATCCATGGTTGAAGATCACTTTTGGTAAGACAAACTTATAAAATATTTGGCAATATTCATATTATTATATGTAGTTTTTCATTCTAATACATGCAGATAAACTACTCGTTAAGTAAATAACGAATCGAAATTGTGCATTCAATGAACGATACAAATATATAAAGAAAATCTCTGAAGCTTCAAGAACGACAGCGAAGTCACGAAATAGTACGTGAGACTTAAAAAAGATAAACTACTGATTTGTAAATGTCATTAATGGAATAGAACAAATTCAGTTCCGAGTATGATTATATAGAGAAAGGAGCCTACTTATACTAAACAGGTAAAAGCATTTCACAGGCAATCAACTTGATTTTCTGATACACCGGTAAACGAAATCCTTATGAATGGAGAATAAAAAGTATGATCTATGATGATGCTAGTTACAACTTTTTAAAAGAACCTTTTCTCTGAAAATATATATGAACTTTATGATCACGATCATTTTTAAATCTAACGTTAATTTCTAAATTAAACTCACAAGAATTGTACCCAAGAAACATTGTGAAAGCGTCACTTCGCAAAAAGTTTCGGTAATATCCGCGAAGCTTGCTTCATCAAAATTAATATCATCTTCTATATATAAGTGTAGCAAGGATAAACAGCAGAGTCCTGCAGGGTAAGACTTTTCGAATCCTATATCTTACCCTGCAACAATTTTCATACCATTACCCTATCCTAGAAGTTGCGTACCATAACCCTATCCTATAGGGTAGGGTAGGATAGGATAGGATAGAGTTATTCTGCAGAACTCCGATAAACAGTTGGCACGAGCATTATTATTATGGATGTTTAGAAAAAATTGTATTACTTAATTAGTAAAATATAGGTCGCACTTTTCTCTTTTCGTTTATATCGATTGTTCTTTTTTCTAAACGTTTTTCATGGATGAAAATTTCTTTTTATTTTATTAGATGAAGTATGATTAAGTGTTTTAACAGCTGTTTTTAGTGGTAATGGTTGTTGTGATGATAAAATTAATTATCTTTTATTTGTTCAATTAAATTCATCATTTATTTTTAAACAATAATAAGTTATCGATGTTGATATATATTATTATTTGATGACGGTAAACTCTGTGTACTTCTTGTCATACAACTCCTATTTAAAACAAATAATGGTTGTTGTAAAAATTGTCGACTAGTTGGATGAACTAGTGATTATTGAAAAGAACAAGGAGATGAATTTTTTAAAGATTCAATAGAAAAACTATTAAATAAAATAAAGTGCTTTAGATGAATCAGTTGAAGTTTGATGGTGATGATTATCATCATCAAATAATAACTATGAATATGTTCATCTGTTTTAATAATTTGATTATTGTACAATGATTCTTTGAAAGACAATTATGTACAAATATTTTCTTTATTAAGATTTTCAATAGTTATTACTGTTGGTGATGTTGATATTGAATTATAACCTTGTGATGAACTATTTGTTCTATTTGACAGGAACCGATGATGGCTATCTATTATTAATATTTGTCGGATTTCGAAGACAGTCATCCTACATTAATGTAATTGAGCTATGGATTTTAAACAATGAGAAAAATGTATGTTACTTTATGAGCTTTATCATCACTTTGAGTATATCGATTATGACAATATTCACATTCGATTATTACAAGTGAATTCCCCTTGTAAGTTAAAGCAATTTTGAATAATAAAAATGTTTCAGTCAAAATAGGTAACTTATTTGTGTTTGATATTAGTGATTTAATTCTGCCATTTACTCTTGAAGGATACATCAAAGTATTTTGACCAGTATAGTTTTCATGATATTCATCACTGATAACATTATCTCTTGAAGTTGGTTTATTCGAATTTCTAGAAAGTCGATATATCAATGTATTTCTAGATCGAGTTAGAAGTTTCTTATTCATCAACCACAGCACAGTCATTTTGATAATGATAAGCAAAATGACGATAATTTGGACATTGATCTGTTTTATTTTTAGATTAAAATAAATGATCACTTAGAAGAACTGATGATGAAAAACTTCCTTGACAAAATAAACTTTTAATTGAACGATTTTCACCATTAGTTTTCTACTAAAATAAAAGGCAAGTGAAAACAATTAAAATGTTTACTTTTAACATACTTGATCTCGTTCAAGACTTGGTTCATCAATATATTCTTCTTCATAATCAGCTGCATATGTTGATCCTGGTTCATCATTATTATCAACCGTTCGCAGATTTTCATAAATATTTAGTCTTAATTCAGAAATAATTAGATTATTTTTTTGCAAGAAAAATCAAACTAACCTAATTAATCGAGTTTCAGATATATGAAACTATTTGAAATCTATAGAAGAAAAAAAGTTCAAATAGAAAAAAAAAACGAAAGAATTGATAATATTTTTCTTTGTTAAACAAGTGTTCAGTTTTATTTGCCCTTTATCATATGATAAAATAAGAAGTGTGCTTCTTTTTTTTAATTACTATTTGACCTTTAACTGAAGTGTAATCACGTTTGATTATATTTGAACTTCTTTCTACTTATAAAATGTTTTTTCTATCCTCAATATTCTAATGCAATAAACTTCGTAGTAAAATAATAATAAGAAGAACATGAAAATATGTCTGAAAATATAAAACAGAACGAAAGAAAAGCAATATGAAGTTAAGTATCTATAAAAAAATCGATAAGCGGTGACACTATAGAATCTAACCACAAGAATTTTTTTAATAAGCAGTCTGTTGAAAGAAGTTATAGTTAGTCGAATATCTTTCATCTCGTTGTTGAGTAACCAGAAATTCTACAAACCAATTCTTTAGGATTTTTATAGATTTTGTCAAAAAAAATGACTAAGCGGACTGAGATGTTTATTTTATATAATACAAACTGAGTTACTTATTTAGAATATGATGGTTTTAAAAATTCACAGATAGATACAGTTTGTCTGACTAATCTAACAAATAAAATTTATATTATATTTATCATTTAACTTCTGTTCAATATCTTTGATAAAATTTTTTTCGTACAAGTACATTTCTAACATAGTATATTCTGTGAGCAAATTTTCCAGGATTATTAGATATTTTTTTTATTGATATTTGTTTGAATGATGATAAAATTATCATGAAATATATTTTTTATCTATTAGTAAAACAAAATCACGTCTATAATTTCACAAATACATGATGTGTTTTTTCAGACGATATTTCCAATCGAATCAAAATGTCTTATAATTATCAACTGTTAAACATTTTTTAACTAATCAATCAACGGACTGAAACGCTATTAAGTTAAATTCAAAATAAATATTAGAGAAAATTTTTTATCGTCAAAGTCGCCTTTAATATTAGTAATGAAAGATGAAATATCAGACAATATTTAATCAATTGTTTTGCATCACATTCTTAAGAATAAAGAAATTTTTATTATTGAGTATTAATTTGAAAATCAAGTAAAGCACACTCTGTTAGGAAAATATGTCTGAAATTCGAATCAATTTTTTCAAAAGATTTGATCTTATGATATTATCACCACAGAAAAGTTGACTTTTCTCATAGTTATTCTTATAAAACCTGCATAAGATTCCTCTAACGAACATGTTTTACTATATATTCTATTTCTTCGGATTTGGATGTTTCTTGAAGACTTGTTCTTGAAAATAATCATTACTTGAGTTAGAATTTTCATATTAAGAAAGTCCTAATTATAGCCCCATTAATGATCATATTTCACATTCAATCAGACAAATTTGTAAGATTGGGTATGATCTTATCAAAAACTGTATGAATATCGCGTAAGTTCATAATTGTACAAGATTGAATATAATCTTATATATTTTTTAGTTGCGAAGAAAAAAAACGAATATTTACAACTTTCTGATATTAGATCTCAATCAAAATCTAATTGTAGATGTTCATCGATAACTCTTTGACCTTTGTCTATTTGGCTACTGATATAACTGATTCATACGGATGAATATTGTACTTGATCAAGACAATCTACACGTTCATAGATAAGTCGTGCCCACCAAAGGTATCGAGATAATCAAATCCCAATTCAAACTGACATTAATCATTTTGCAACACCTATAGCAAAACATTTCAAAAATGAGCGACAAGACGAATAACGTGGTTTTCAAAATCATTTAAAGTAATCAAGTTGCTTACTGGTTAAAGGTCAGTTTGGATAACAAATTAGTCTGTCAATAATGTCAGAAACTGAATTCTGCTCGAATTCATAATGATCCATTATCGTAATTTTACAAAACTGTCGCTGCAGTAGATTACAATTCTGTGTCATACCGATGTGTTAATCTAACCAAACGATTTGATGCCTCGTCACACTCATTCTTGTCGAAGATATTAAAATAGATGGTTGTGGTATAAACCGAGGCTTTTTTTTGCTGTGAAACGACTTGGCCAAGGACAATCTCAACATTAATTCTCGATAAAACAATACGTACCTAATTCATGTATTCATCGTCGAACTCAACATGCTTTTTAAACTGACTATCGCATATGTGTAAAATGTAGTTCTTCAAGAGGATACAAAAAAATTTTTGCGGCAAGTAGAACAGGATCATTATACGACAAATTTCAATTGATGAAAAAACATACTAACATGATTAAGGAGATAAACAGCGAATTTCAAGGATACCATCGTAGGTTAGAAATAATAATAATAATACTTTGATGTTGGCATATTTAATTAATTTCACAGAAGCTTTCTATCTTCTTTTATCATACAAACAAAAGTAAATAATGTAATAGAAAAAAAATTAACATTTTTTATGCTTACTTCAAGCGCTAAAATGATAAACTTGAATTTTTTCTCGTTCGCCGGTCACACATTTTTTTCTTTCTGTGTTTAAGAAATTATAAAAATCAACAAGTCGGGTTAAGGAAGAAGAGTATTTTTGCCATTGGAAAGCAAACATATAATGCTCAGTATGAATTTCCAGGAACCTAAATGAGTTTGCACACAGCCATTTGATTCCAATGATACTAGCATTAATGGGCATAAAAGATTTTCTCTGAGGAATAGGGAAATTAATTTATTTTTCTGGAAACTAATAGAAAGCATCATATCATTTTTTTCCTGTAATTTAAAAATTGCTTAATAATTTGAATTGTTTCCAATGGAAACCATGTGATTTTATAAGGTCAATACTAAAACTACTTTGTATCAATAATTGAGTAAAATCTTTCCTTTAATTATATGACACATTCTGTCAACCAACGCAGAAGACAGACCGTCGCATCAGTTTTTTTGTTATTCAAAATATCATCAAATAGATGCAGCATTTCACTCAAATGAATTTTGCTAATTACTCGATAAAAGGAAAAAAAATTTCTTTTTCCTGCATAACAAAGATTATCCCTCTCCTAAACAATTGTACACATTTATAAAAGATACTCTCAATGTTCGTTTCATACAGCTTGCACTTGTAAAGAGCCGTAACTTATCATTTCGGTTAAAGCCAATATTATGAGCATAGATGAGAGCAATCATTTAGGATCATGTTTACAGGGATGGCGCGAAAGAGTAAGAGCAAAGAAGTGATCCTCTCATCTCCTGCCCTCCTCTTTCCGGTTGCGCCGCCTTTGCATGTTTATCAGACTTGGAACACTGTTCAGTCAACAAACTTTCATTCATTATTTTTCACTCACCATCATAATCACAACTACCGAAGCATTCAATTAGTGAAAACATATATATGTATGTATATCCTATATTTCTTCTATTTAATTCATTTTTATGTTTTACAAATTTATAACTGACGGGAAAAAGTTCAACTGATCACTTGTTGGCTTGATCCATGGTTCAATAATTTGAAGACTTTCAACTTTTGAACAATTTTCTCTTGCTTGCTGATTGTTCTCAGCGATTATGACTAATAATGAATCATTACAAATGATGAGTTCTACTAAACAAGGAAGACGACTTCGACAAAGAAGTTGTTTAGCATAATCTACATGTATATCATGTAATATTAGTGCAGTTAAATGAGTAAATTCAATTACATTTGTGTTTATCGTTCCCTTCTCCTCTTGTTCAAGTTGATTGAATACTTCAAGTGTTTTAAGACGAGGTAGAGATCGAACCATACGTTCAAAAAACACACTTTCGAAAGGTTTGACATCATCAAAGAGTAATAATGTAGAGACATTCGAGAAAGTGTCCTTGATATCGAAGAATGGAAATCGATTTGAGATGAAGTCAAGACAAGTACCAATAAATGGAAGCGAATAGATTTGACACTGACCGTAACGATTTTTGAAAAAATCAAGTACACAATCAACAGGTTGTTGTTGTTTGACAAAACTTTGACGAATTGTGTCAACTTCTATATGTGGAGCACGTCGTAATATTGAACGAATATGAAATTTAAATTGTTGTAAATGAGGCATATATGAAACAATCTCTCGTTGTAAATCAAACCCATCAATAAAATGATTGGGACCGCGTCTGTCTACACCGATGGCCAATAATAATGTCAAATGTTCGACAGTTGATAAACGTCGAAAAAGAGAAAAGAAATGTTCATAGTAAAGAATATTGCGATAGATTGTTACTGTTAATTGTTTCAAATTGGGGCAGGATATCTAAATGAAATTAATTATAATTGAAATTTAAAATTAAAGAGTTATTTACTGATTTCATTTGTGACATAGTTAGATCGTCGCATAAAAAGATGCTTGCAATGGTAACAGACAACGAGTGCAGTTGAGAGCCCAGTTGATGGAGTAAACGAACACAATCGTCGAAATGAAACAATGCGAGACAAATGTGAGTAAGATAGCGTGATTGAGGAGAGAATAATCCTTCCTCACTTCGTGGAACGTGAAAAAAACATTGAGTATCGGACTCGAACGAGACAATAGATCGTATAAGTGATGAACAACGAATGAATGTTATGAGTACATTAGTGATCATATCATTGGGATGGAAATATTCTGGAACAATCGAGAAGAGCGGTATACTTCGTGCTGGACTGTCATCATAATCACCTATATATATACAAAAATCCATGCATACCACTCCCATCAAATCATACACGCATTATAATCAAAGCTCTAAATAAACTTGGGTTCCTATTTAAACAAACCTATATCCTGAAGATATGCGGTTTCAGTTTGTTGGTTACTGGCATCACTGGTATACTGGCACTGCATTTCTAGCTTATCCACGTATTGAACTATGAAAATTAGATGTCCATCTTAAAACTAAATTGTTCATCGGTTGAAAAAAAATATTCGAATAAGATTTCATCATATATATCTGTTTTAATTACATTTAGTCATCGGAAACTCACTATTGCTATAATTCTATCACGATTAGTAATTAACCAGTGAAGATTAAAATTCTTAAAAATTTATAACCAACCGAAACCGAGATAAGAAACCTAATGAATTTTGTTGTATTTCAAACAAAAAACAAGGTATAACTCTATGTTGCATTCATTTCGATCAAGATAAAGTTTTCGAAATTCTTCTATTAAAGTTTCTTTTATTGTCTGAAGGCAATATGAATTGAGACCTTATGTATAAAAAGTTTTAAGTTTACTTATTATGATAGGTGTGCCTGTATTGGAATGGCAATGGCCGTTCACTATCTTCAAATGTGTCAAATGGAATGGAATTCTATCACCATATATTTTGAGTGCCGTATTAATATGGAACAAATGTTTCAAATTGATTGCAAGAGATTGAATATTATTAGAAATACGAGGCAAAATATATAAATACAATCGTTGGATAAGTAATTCATGTGGTGAATGCACATAATCAAAAGTTAAATCGATTGAATGACATTGTTCTAGTGCAAGTTGTTCTAAACGATTATTTCCGATACCAATAATAGAACAAAGTAATAAGACTTGCGGTTTGACTTTATTCATAATAGACAAGATCATTTCATCTGGTAAATCAAATAGTTCGACCATATTTTCTATGAAAAATAAAATAAAATAAGTGATATTATTAAATATATACGCACCCGTATTCGATAAAGAGTTTACTGTTTCTTTGTCACGTCTGCCTAATTAATGGAGAGATGTGTTCATATATATATGAGTGAATTGCAAAATTATTGTACCGTTGTATTCCCTAGATGTAAAAGTTTAATAACTCCAGTTCCTCTCAAGCTATCTTTATGAATTTTTCAGGTTAGACGTCTCTAGTTAGTGCTCACTATCACACAAAAAATCACAAATTTATCTCGCACGGAGTCTGAGATATTGGATGCTCAAGGTTCAAAAGTTCGATTTTCACTGACATGTGATGTACAAAAACGTCACATGACCGATTGATTCTCNTTTATATGACTTCTTTGAAAACTAAACATTGATTGAAGCTATTTTAACAAATCTTAGACGAGATGAGATTTGAAGAAAAAATTATCATATTAAATCTTCTCTTCTTATTTGTAAGAATAAAATCAATTGTCCCATGATTATAAGAAAATAAAGATGGCTCCATATGAAATCTATCAAAATTTATATGGAAAATTGTAATAGAAAGGAAATTTAAAAAAAAAATACTAGGATTCTGAAAAAATTCAAGAATTCGGATAAATTCGGAAAGTCGGACGGCAGTCGGAAAAACTTGGGAAATTCTGAAAATTCCGACTAATTCGGACGATCTGGCAACCCTGGTTGAGCATAATAAAATACTCATCATGTTTTCTTTGAGTGTTAGTCTTTGAAAATGTATTCTAAATTTGTAAATAGAAAAGAATTTCTAAGGCATATCATCTGAGTTAAGAAACTACATAATCAATTGCTTACTAATCAGTACAAAAGAAAATTCTTCTATATTAGACATAAATTTCTTTGCTATATATGGTTCTCAACTAATATATTTACTCTTCTGAATAGTTGATTAAGTATATTTCAAAAAAAAAACAACAACAATGATTTGGATAGCCTTTCGTGTTATTATGATCAACAGGCAAAATATGATATATTTACATATATTTATATTTTTGAATATAGGAAATAGAACAACGAGTGAAAGGAATAAACATGACAAAAAATAGAGAAAAATATTTGTATCTATTGAGAAGATATTACTGATAATTTATCATCACTCAGTTTGAGAACGATTATTAAGAATTTATTATTGTTTTTAAAACAGTGAAGATTATCAATACGTAATACTGTAGTCGCAGTGTCGAAGTAGAAAATTCAGTGACATTATATACAAACGATTGTGTTACCTTCAATTCGACTATTGTAATCATACAAAGCAGAGCATTTGTCTATTCGTCTGACCTATTAAGTAATGTTGTAGATGTATCTTTGGTCAAATGTCAATTAATATTATAGTTTAATCCTTATTAAAATATTTTAAGTGAAAAAACTTTAATAGATGATAGTTTCTTTCCTCAAATAGTTGCGTGTGAGACAAATGATTTGTCTTATTTGTTTTTTACATTTCGAATAGAAATTTTTTCTTTCAAGTTTTTTACTTCCGCTCTGTTTTTTATTCGTCTTATTGGTATTCGTTCATTATTTGTTTTGTTTTTCTTAAATTACTATGATTATTATCATTCTAACCATCGATTTAACTGACAAATAAACCTTTGTCACACCTCTATTTTATCTACAACAGGTCTCATAGTGCTCGTGGGTGTCTCGATAGCCTCAGAAACATTGGTTTTGTTTGTTTCGAAAAACTAGAAAGTTTTAGTATTGGTCATATGGCAACTATGGCAAATCAAAACATCACTAGATATCATCTTTGATATTTATCATATAATCAGCCGTTTGCATAAAAATCAGAAACTGCAGTATTTAGAACATTCACTAACGTATTCTAATCATTAAAATTTCAAGGAAAGTTTTTGGGACACTATCGAACCGTCTAAGTTTTGTTGTTAGTATCATTCAGCGTCTTTTTTCTGTTGCTAAAGAACTATATAAAAAAGTCTGATGACTCTAATCCTTGATTGCTATGGAAACATAATCAGTGACTTTTAATCACGATTGCTAAAGACTATTGCGAGTGCCTTTGTTAGTATTGCTATGACTGTTAGAGATGATAAAATCATTGATTTATAACCTCACTATCATGCTTCAATCGAGATTGCTATGGATGAGAGGACGAGAGGAAAATCTCGACTTATAACATATACTCACTATTTTCCTTCGTTAAATATGTGACTTCCACAAAACAAAACAACATTCTATCATCAATTCTTACAGTAAAGAAATCAGTTGGTTCTGTAATATTTTTCAATTCCATTGAACATACGAAAAAAAGAAATTAAATTATATCACCATTCATTTGACATATTCATTACCTATTGAAAAAAATTTCGTTAATGCTCTTTTATTTTTAATTATATTGAACAAATTAATAGCTGATTATGTCACACACATACACATTACTATCTCGTGCGTTAAATCATAAATAGGCATTGGAACTACGTAAATGATCAATCATTCATCGTTCGTATGATTGTCGAAGCCGGAACAATTCACAAGCGAAAAATAGTTTTACTAGTTAGCTTTCATCGATGCCGCCGATCAACAATTTTCAATCTATATGATTTTTCCAACTATCAGCAATAGGCTAGATGACTGTTTATTTAATACGTGAGAAAGTAATATAAAATAAAATTACAAGAATGATTAGATAATTAGTACACGATACTAAAACGGAAGTAATTAATCGATTTCAGCAAGAAATATGTGCTGTGCAACTTGATGATCATCTTATGCATTGTTAGTATATTTTACTATGCAAAATTTACTTCATCTAAATACTATTCATATTCTTTTTATATCATGTTATTTTTTGATTAAACGAAGCTGAATCTCTAAATGAAGTATTTCAATTCTTACAAAGAATTGAAAACACTGTATATAAACGCACCCTTTTTTTATTGTTATTTTAAACGATCATAATCATGCTATTAAACCAACGCTGATCGCTTGTAAGATGAACTTGAGAATTTGCAGGTGGAGGAAAAGCGTTAATTTGATTGAAACGTCAATATTGTTTTGAAAAAAGCGATCTCTGATGAATCGTAAAATCGTTTATTCGTTTTCGTGAGATATCGTCTTTTTCGAAAAATCGAAATTCATACTTCGCACCACATTTCGTATTCGGATAGAAACTCGAATACCATCTAGTTTCGATTTTAATTATCTCAAAACGAAAAAGTAATATGGTTTCATATTTGTCATTTTCGGAAGCTGATTACAAGAAAATGAAACGTGTTCAGAACAGTATCGATACAAAAGGTACCAGTTCAATCTCGATACTTTGACTTCGCGTTTAAACGAGTGTTTTATCAGTTTCCATTCTCGAGATCATCGCGTCACAAAATGACAACTTTTGATGCGTACGTCCAGTAAGAATTATTTTTCTCTTTAACATGATTATAAAAGGGACTTTATTTATGATTATATAAATACATGATAATATGTTGTTGATTAGAAATAAATGAGATCAATATAATAAAATACACACATATTCTTAAGAAATTTAATTTAAAAAATAAATTTAACTAAATATGTTTGTTAAGATTTAATTGAAACGGGTTAAAATGAATGTACAATAATTGATGAAAAAAATTATTTTGAAAATGAAATAAATTTAAATTTAAATGAAAATGAAAATGAAGATATTGTTTTCGAAAGAAATGATGATAAACAAATTGATTTTGATAATATTAAATTAAAACCATTAAAAATTGTTGATGGTGATGATGATGATAAATCATCAAGAATATCAAATGAATTTGAACAAACAAATAAACAAGATATTAAAAATAGTTTATTAAAACGAGCTACATCAATAACAAATAAATTAACAGATACATTTAATCGTTTAACATCAACAACATCAACATTAATTACAATAAATAATAATGAACATTTTAATTCTCTAAATCAATATCAATTTTCATATGATTTATTTAATAAAGTTCATCATTTTTTGTTTTTCTTTATTATTTAATATAAAATATATTTGTTTAGAATAATCTTCTTCATCCATATATATCAATTCATAGTCTTGATATAATAAATAATTCAAATATAAATTCATATTTAATTGGTGCAAGTAATCGTTTATATCGTCAACAAAATAATATTGATTTTATTTTAACTGATTATGATGATGATTTTATAATTCAATCATCAATATTAAAACAACAACTTCAATTAACAACAGCTGATTTAAGATTTATTCAATTATTTGAAGATTCACAATCAAGTTTGTTTTCTTTTTTCTTAAATATTTAAATTGAGTTTTTTTTTTAAACAAAAAATAGATGTTCAAAGTGAAGAAGAAATTCGTCGTTTATTTAAAATCTATTTGTTATCATTATTAAGTGTAGCTCGAACTCCTTGTAAGTTATTTATTTTATTTTATTTGTAATATTTTTTTTTTAATCGTTTATAAAAATAAAAAGATGATGAAGTGATAAATGATTTTAATCCATTATTTGTTAAATCATTTCAATCAACAAATGCATTTCGTTTATGGCAATCAAAAGGATCTTATCCATATATTGATCAAATTCTTCCACAGTTTTACATATATTTATTAATAATATATTTAAATAAAAATCAATTTTATTTTTAGACATCCTCAAGCAGGACAACTTAATGTAACTGATGTTAAATTACGTGCTGCTCAGTATGTATTTATTTGCTTTTTCTTTTTTTTTTTCTTTAAAAAAATAAAATATTATTTTAAAAGTGTTCTTGATGATACTGAAACTGGTAGAAAATTAAAAGGCGCATTTGAAGATACATCTCAATTTATGGGGGGAAAATCTCGAGCAGCAACTAAAGTACTTGGACAAGCAAAGAATTCTCTATTTAGTTCAGTTATTGGAACAATAAATCAAGGTAAACAAATGGTTATCAAAAGGTCAAACATCATCTCCAATATTTGATTAAATATTTATTTTAGTCAAATAATTATTTCATCATGTCATTTGTTTTCATCTTTTTCAAATATATTTATCTTCATATTCAAATATATCTTCATCTTGTTTTTCTCTTTTTTATTCTCAATTAAATTCTTTTCGATTTTATCGAATTCATTTTTTTTTCAATATGATTTAATATCAAATTTCAATTAATTTTATTTCAAAATCGATTTCGATATTCATCATTAAACAATTCTTCTTCGAAAAAGCTACATTTTCAATAGATTATTTTCAATTCTCATTAACTCATTTAACATTTATCATCAAATCGATATTTTACATTCTATCGATAATCATAATTCAATTCCATATACGACAATTAAACAACCAACTTTAATAATCTCTTTCTATATTAACTAAATTACCGAATAAAGCATTTATACTATCAAATAGGTTTAATGCAAATTCTATTCTGAGTCACATTATCTGACTTGTACACGTCGACTTATATGGACCTTGAATATGATTAAATCGAATTTTCATCAATCTCCGAGATTACATGAGAAAAGTTCGATCGTTGATGTCAGTTCAACTATTGTCGGCGACAGAATTAAGTAGGAATGAATCTAAGACAAATATCTTGAGAATGACAATAGATAACGACCTGTGGGTTTCACAACTCAAAAGATGTCAAATGAAGACGTCTTTTGATATAATATTATGCAAGGTGAAATCATTATCTAATCAATCATCTTTGGGAATGTTTACAAAAAAATGTACAATAATACAATGTAGTTAAAACGAATTTTCGAGGCAATGACATACATGTTAAATAGATGCACTTCAGATTTGTATTCCTATATATAGCTTAGATGACTATCTTCTCTCTTCCTAATACTAATCAAACTTAAAACAAGTTCATGATCGATGTATAAATAGGTAATTATTTTAATTTAAGAATAAATTTTTATTGGTTATTTATGTATTAGAAAAAACTTGTGTTATCATGCGTGACTTGATTTACTTATAATTGACATTTTCATTTGATAATGTCTGAAATGACGAGAAATACATCGAGTGACGATACATTAATATGTGATTCTCAACTTACAATGGGAGGCGTGTGTACTGCCAGTTGAATTGACTGACCATGTTCAGGTCACATGATCACTCTCACCGAGAGACTAATCAATTTAAAATATGAATGGCCATTGGCGTGCGTAGAGCAAGTTATTTAAATTTCAAGGTATATGAAATTTAGGTATAAAAATAAATCAAAAAAGGTTTTGTTCACTATTGTAAGGACAAAACATAGTGTTGTTCGAGTCAATCTAGCGGTTTTATCGTCTTATCCAAAGTCTAATATAAATTCTTTATAAAATATTTTAATAGAGAATTTAAAGATAATTATTCTTGAAAAGGTATTAATTTTACTATAAAATAAGCTTTTCCTCGTTTCGAAATCATGCTCAAGTGGTGAGAACGAGTGACTAACTTAAATCGTGACTCATCTGTACAGCAGAAGAAGAAGAATTTTCCATAGCAACTAAGCTACCCAAAAGTAATAAGTCGGCTTCTACACTTCGTGCAGTCAACCGTCTTAAATAATGTCATGTCATTCGTTCATTCATTTATTCACTCATTATCTATTTACAACATTGGACGATATAAAAATACATCATTGTTTTCATTGACGCTACCCGTCAAATAGAATGAGCGATTAGTTCATAAATATACAATAATTGACATTTATAATCTTAGATAAATTAATATAGGTGAAAATAAACATGACATATTCAAGTGTTCAATTGAATGATTTACCCGATGAAATTCTTTTGATTATTTTCAAAAAATTGAACAATATCGAAGTACTTTCCTCTTTATTCAATGTCAATAAGCGATTAAATAAAATTGTACATGATTCAATTTTTACTAGTGATTTAACTTTATTAAAATATTTGTCGCATAATTCTACCTATTCATTACCTGATCCACTACTAGATAGGTTTTGTTCGGAAATCTTACCGGAAATTCATCATAAAATAAAATTGCTTACTCTTGAATCATTATCTATGAAACGTATTCTTCTTTCTACAAATTATCCTAATCTCGATGGACTTGGTATATATAATATTAAAAAGAAAACTGCTTTATCTCTCTTTACTGGTAAGATACTATTTATTTCAAATAGAACCATATTAAAAATTATTTATTTTCTCAATACGTTTTGTCTTTATGTTTAGATGAGATTACTTTTACTGATGTATTCAAAAATCAAATTTTATCATTTGTGATTGAAATTATTGACAAAGATTGTTACGAACCAAATATGAATATAATTATATTTACAAATATCTTTAAAAATTTCACCAATTTGAAATATTTAAATTTTAATCCATCTTTTATTTGTGATCAACATATATCATTCAATTGGTCATCTCCAACCATTTTCTCTTCGACTTTGCTAACATTACATGTCAAAGTATCGTCTGTTATCGATTGTCTTCATTTACTTGATGGTCGATTTAATCAACTCCATACATTATATCTTCATACAGTATCAGCATATTCTCGTCAAAAATCCTTAAAAATCACTAATAAAGTATGTTTTTATAAATTCTTAATTTGAAAGAAATTGAAATTGATCAATATGGATTTTTCTAGGAAAAATTACCAAATTTAAGATGTTTTTCATTGTCTTCTGCTGAGAAATTAGATTTGTACGATGAAATAATCATACCACTTTTACATCGAATGTCAAATTTAGAAATACTCATGTTGTATTTTCCAGTCTCAAAAAGAAGAACATTTATCGATGGAAATAATTTGAAGGCCATTATCAATCATATGTCACAATTAAACAAATTTTTATTTAACATTTGTTCATTTATTCATTTTAACAATCAAAAAATTAATTTACCATCAAATGAAGATATTCAATATTCATTTAAAGATTTTAATTATGATCAAATTATTTCTTGTGTTAATTATTTTCCAGAGGCAAAATGCGGTGAATGTCATATCTATTCATATCCATATACACTGAGACATTATTATTATATAAGAAATAATTTTCCAGGTGGATTATTTAAATGTGTTCGTCAAGTATCATTATATGATGAACATCCTTTTGAACATGAATTTTTTATTCGAATTCAAAAATCATTTCCATTGATGAAAAAATTAACTTTATATAATAAGAAACCACAAAACAATAAACAATATAGAAAATCAAAGGAGGACATCGAACATCTATCGATCGTTGAATATCCTTATCTTACCAACCTTATTTTATGTGATACTCATTATGATTATATTGAAGAATTTCTACTTGATACAAAAACATGTTTGACAAATGATGTTTATCTCTCTGTTAATTATAAATCTTTAAAAAAAGTGACACGCAATTTTAAAAGAGATGTAACACGAATTAATTCTAATAAAGTCAATCGTTTACATGTTTCTGGTGAATTCAAAATAACTGAACATTTGAAAAATTATTTTTCTCATGCAGAAATATCTAATTATTATGGATTTATTTGAATAAAAATTGTTTTATATTTTGAAAAAAATCAAAATCTATCTACATATGAGAACGATCACACGTAATGACATGTGATTTATGCAAAAATTCTAAAAATAATAGTTCTATTGTAAGAAGTAATTAATTTTATTTGGAATAATATCTCGAACTTAACTGTCTTAGTATGATATAACATGAAATATGTTTTTCAAATTGAAAAATAAAAACAAAATTGAGAAGTTGAGGAGAAAAAGCTGTTAATGCAATGTTTATGGGATTAAAATATGAAACAAAAAATGAATTCTTGAATAATAGAAGGAGGCATATTATACAACAGCTGTTTTATTTCTCTAGATAAAATTATAGTTTTACTTTTTTTTTTTCTTCAATTCGGAAAAACATATTCTTCACAATACTTTATCAAGATATTTAATTAATGCTCGATGTGAAGTACGTATAAATACTTTTTGACCGGAACGAATTTATGGTATATATTATCATGCTGATAAGATAATTCATGTACAATTGCATGTTTTAAACATTCAGTTAATGGTAATAGACGTTTATCTTTATTCTAGAAAGCATAAAACTTACTTTTCAAAGAACTTCTTTGTTTCCTAAACTTAATATTTAGGATTGATTATTTCCTAGATTACAGAAGAAATATAGAACAGGATTAGTGAGGACCTTTGTTGACAAGATAGAGATTCAAAATCAACTAAATTATAACATAAAACTTGTTTCTGTTTCTTGCGGATTTTTATTCCAGCAAATTTTATTCTGAATAGATAGTGCTTGATTTTACATAAGATACAAAAAGAATAAACAAAGTATTTCTATTCAATTTTTTGTTAATATTCTTTTCTGAATTCTTTATTTTCTTAAGGAAGTATAGAAGAAATTCGTCGAAACAATCTTGAAGATAATGGCTTCTGTAACTGTAAATATTTTTTATCATGAAATGAAATAAAATAGTTTACATTTTTAGGATATGTTAAAACACAAATTGTTACTTTATATGATGGAGTTGGATAAAAAAACATCATGGTGATTTTAACAAAAAACTGGTAACTGTATTTCATTATACATTGTTAGAAGAAAAGTTTTTGGTCAAGAATGATGATGATAGTGTAAGAAAAAATATTTTTTTATTAAGAGCATTTATTTGTACCGTACTGTATTTTTTCCTTGGACATATAATCAAGATTTTTTACATGATGTTTCATTATTAATAAATATGTCACAAATTATTGCTTTTACAAATGATACACAATCATATACAATTTTTTATCAACAATTAGCTGAAGAATTTCACCGAGTCTTTTTTATATTATCAGCTGAATATTATGCTGATGGAATGCAAGCAGCACAAATACTTACTTTAGCTTTACCTAATGTTGTACCATTGAATGTACGGGATTCACTTTTAAGACATTTAATTCAAGATATTAATAATAAAGGAAATCATGTATGAACAGGAATTGTTTCAACTGCACAACTTTTTTTCACTTTTATCTGATAATGGACAGTATAATTTAGCTGTTGAATTAGTTTTTTTAATAACATATCCATCATATGGTTATATGTTTAATAATCCATATGAAAATGTTACAACTATGTGGGAATTATGGGATGTACCCATGAAAGGACCAGGAATGGATTTACGTAATCATAATATGTTTACAAGCATTGGTGCATGATTTTATTCACATTAAGCTGAAATTGATTTTCAATCAGATTTAATTCTTATTCGACCAAGAATGTTATCAGAAAATAAAAACATTTTTTAAATAAAATTGATTGCCAATTAAGTACATTATATGAACGTGTTCATGTTTCTTATACTCGTAATAAAAATGATACATTTTAAAATTGAATTTTACTTCGAGTTTCGATCCCAACAAATACAAAAGCTAAAGTTATATTTGAACCATTATTTCCTGGTGCTCGATGTGTAACATTAACTGAAGATAATGAAATTATTTGATCAATTGATAATAAGAAAAATAATGTTTTACATAACCCAGAAACTGAATTAATGACTGTTGAAATTGGATTATGAGAATATGAATATCAAGCTTTTTTGGGAATAAAGAGTTAAATAAATAAAAATTGAAACTTTTATAAATATTTGCATTTATTTATTATTGCTTTTGTGATACATGTGATAAGTTTTTTTTTCTTAGATATAGTTCATTTTAATAATAAATATTTTGTGACGGTAATAAATCATTGATTCTTTATTTTATGAATGAAAATTTTGCTTCGGAAAATCTGCTTGTTTATTAAATAAAAAACACGAAATATCAACAACAATATAAACCATCCAAAAAGAAATTGACTATTGAAATATGTTTCCATTTATTGATCATTTCATGAACTTTCTTTATCCGCTCTAAAAAAGAAAAAATATAAATCTTGATTTTATTCATTTTGAATTGTCTTTACTTTCGATCATCTCGTTCACTTGATCCACTACTAACACTACATTTTATATCCCAGAATAAATATACATTAGAAAATCCTATTCTTTAATCATTTTACTAACTTTATGATTCTACAATAAAGATAAAAAAGATAGATTAGTTTCGTTTATATTTAATAAATATAAGCAAACCTGATTATCATGACCATGATGTGGTGTATGATCTTTTGCTTCCGGATATTCGATAGGTTCATGTTTCTTCTTTTCTACCTTATCAGCGTGTTCTATATTTTAATTAAAATGAATTTAATTATAAACAAACAAAATCTTTTACCATAATAAGGTTTGCCTTCTGAATTAACATCAACACCAGACATTCCTTTAGTAACGTTTGAATTCGACATATATACTTTAAATATCTAATAAAGAAAGAATGGTAGAAGTTCAACACGAACATTCGGATATAAGTGATATACGCCGAAGGGCAATGAAAACGGAAGAAGAATGAAACTAGATCTCCACTTGACCGAATCTCGAGTAGAAAAGCCGGCTGACTGCACGAGCTCCGAAAATACCAGAAGACGATCCTATACGACATCTGCTAATCCGAAATTTAAGGCTCGCGTAGGGAAAATCAATGAATTTTAGTCGCACCCATCCATCTTGCCTCAGCTGAGAAGTGAGAGATAACTAGATGGTACTCGGGTTTCACTCAGCTACAAAATGCGGTGCGAAGCCGAGAATATCGATTATCGAGAAATCGGTAATTCGTAAAAGAACGCATATTCGTTTCAACGATTGAACATGAACGAAACAGTCAGTCGACAAGTTCTTTCGGATTTATCGAATCAGGTTTCTTGTCTGTCGATGTTGTCAAAAAAGTAAGATTTCGATCAATCAGCTGATCGAAATCGAAGAGAAATGCAAGATGTAGACATAACGAAATTCGTCACTGTGAGAACTCTATCGATACTTATCAACTTGCTTCTAATGAACATTATCGATTGATGGATTAATTATCTGTGTGATTCATTATTTAGCATCAGCTGTTATTAAGAATAAAATCTGTGATGCAAAGAGAATGGCGCCTAACTTTCTGTCTCGTTTTCGTTTTAATTATGTCAAATAGTCAAAAAAAAAACAAAGTCCACAAAAATTTGCCATTCTGCAGGACTCTATGTAAACAAATAGAACTGCCTAGAAAAGAGCAGAAAAAAGAAAGTAACGGTTTGATCTTGATATTTTCATCTCGTGTTTCAACCAGTATTTTCTGCCTTTCCGTTCTCGAGATTATCGCGACAGATAATGACAATTTTAGCGTCAAGTAAATGCTGTGCTTCGCACCGCATTAATAAACAATTATTTTTATATAACTTTAATTGACGTTAGTTTAATTGTATTAATTGCTGCATTGATACGAAAATTATAAAAGGAAAAATTATCTTTTCATGTATAACGAAATCAACGATGATGAAATCGATTGAGTTGATTTCGTAGTTTTCGTTTGGCTCTGTTCGGGAGAGAGAAAGTATTAAGGGAGAAAATCTACCGAAGCTACAGTGAAACCATTCATTCATCATTTTCTTTTCAGAAAAAATATATTCAGCTAGACATTTTAATACTCTTTTTATCAATCATAAACACTTTTTCTTAGCGGATATTTTTCGTGTCAGTAAATTCCTAAAGAAATTTCTCGTCAAGGAAAACAGATATATTTTTATTACATACGAAAATTGTCTACACGAATAGTTTTGTGACGTTTTATCTATTCATCATCATCATTTTTGTTAGTATATATTTTGATATTGCGAGCTTCTGCTTATCCTGGACGCATAAAAAATATCTTACGATATGATATAAATCGGTTTCCGTAATCTCTGGTTTTAATATACTAAATTTGACAGTTGTCTCTAACACTGCTGACGAGAAACTGTTACATAGTTTTGTTTTTATTTGTTGTAGTGCATTAAAACGACATTCATATTCATTAGATTCAATTGGTAAAAGTGTTAAAATTTGATATAATTTAAACCATTTACATATGAGATACTGGTTTGAATTTCGTATATACTATTCTCTTGTATCTATTAAATGAATTTTTAGATATGTTGATGATCAAGCCATAGTTTTTTGAAGGTTTTCTTAGTTTCTGTCTTTTTAATATATTACTCTTCAAAATATGATCTGATTCAGTTTCTCTTTTTAGAGACAATAACCGTAGTTTTATTTGTAAAAATTGCAAATACAACTTTGCTTCTATATAAATGAATTGTTCAATCGAGGAATTAAAAATATTATCTATCCACAACTGAACATCTTCAACGAGAAATGCAAAATACAAGAAAAATTTAAGAGGTGAAAATCATCCTGTCTTTCACTCCAATCCTATGGTCAAGACTTATTATTAACCGAAATATTTATTATTCTTTATCTTGTATGAGATTGTTGGACTCTATTTTTTCATATGTTTATTATACATTATGGAATATTAATAATATTCTTCGTTGTTCTAGTTCATTTTATTGTGTTAGCACTGTTTTTGATTGAACAAATTTATGTTGCGATTTATCGATTGATTTATTGAGTCAATCATTTGCAGAATTGAATATAATCTGTAAACAACATCGTGATTCTACATTATTTACTTTGCTGTCATCAACATGGACATTTTAATCTAATATATAATCTTTCTTATCGAACACTAACATCGTTGCAAATCCGACGAGGAACATTCGATTATGAACTCATTATTCTCATCATTGATATTATCTGCTAGACTCCTCTTCACTCACACCCAGTACATAGGATGATGAGAGTACATCACAGTATATGATAGTACAAGGGATGAATATCAGGTTTTGATTATACGTATTTTGTAGTTATCAGCAGACAACAATGCGTGGAAATCAAGAGGAAATTAGCAAGACTTTAGTATTCCGAAGTACAAGTGAAATACAATGAAGCATGAATGAAGTATAGTACTTCACTTGTATTTTGAAGTCTCACTTTTCCTCCTTGATGGAGATACGTTTTGATTGTATTTCATGATCTATGAACATTATTGAAACATTTTATAACTACGGTTGCTCGGACAAGTTTGATCAAGGGAATGTTCAAATTCTAGATTTATGAAGATATTGTTTGCATCAGAGTACATTTTGTATTTGTGTTTGTGTAGTCCCCTTTGTCAAGTATTTTGGATTATACATGGTGAATTTTAGTGTGAAATTTTAATTAATATTTTACTTATATTCAATAGTTCATTTACAATATTTAAAATAATACGTGATCGTCTTATATTCGTTATGATTGATGATAATAGATCTAATAAAATCTTATAAACATCAAAAAACAAGAAAAAAAATCAAATTAAACAAATAAAATACATCTGACACAGAAGATAAAAAAAGAAAAAGTATTTATCACACACTCATTTGATATTGCGATGTGTATAATGGAGGTATACCTAAAAAAAACAAATGATTTTTTTTTTATTCAATTATATTATATATTTAGCATGAGAATTTGACTTTACAAATTCGCATCCGAATAGAAAAATTTTAAAGATTACTGAATGATGATGAAACCTGCTAGTTATATTATCAAGTAACTTGTAAAGGAAAATTTGTGTGTTCAATTTTTACTTGGGGCTGAAGAAATTCGAATCTATTACTTATTTCTTGAAATTTTCAACTTTGATTTTTTCTCAGTGTTTTATCGAAAAATTAAGTTTCCTTGAACTTGAACACTTCTCATCAAACTTTAAGTTGTCCGATAACCAAATAGCAAGAGCTTACAAGAGATGGGATCCGTTCAGTTTTCCCTTTCCTTAAAAAAACACGTATCGATTCTACTTCTAAAGTCTACTTTAGACATAATTTTATTCGTTGTCTTCTCGAATTCTTTCTTGTGTCACTATTAGTTTTAATTTTCTTTAGACCTGAAAATGTGTAATCAGCTGTTTCAGCTAATCTAGGACTATATTCATTATTAAATGTTGTTGTTGTAGATTTTGAATGAAAACCAGAACTATTTGTTGATGATTCATTTGATAAATTATCCATTAATTTTTTTGTATGATTAGTATTAAATAATGATTTTAATAAATGATCTAAATCAAAAACATTTTATTAAGTAAAAATAAAAAAAAAAACAAATTTAAAAACCTGTTGGTTCAATTTTCGTTTGATCGATTTTTAAAGATAAGTGATCATTATCATTAAATGATGCATTACATGTACGTAAATCAGATGTTCGTAAAGATGCAACATCTTT